TGTTCATTTGGTGGTTGTGTATAGTTTATCTATGTAGAATGGATTTATCTATGGGCAAGTCATGTCGTTCCTTTTTTATGGAATAAACCGGTAAATGAGCAGACGGATCACCTGATGGTAAGTGATCAGCGTCGCCCATGAACACTGGAACACCAGAGACGTTACAAGTGGGGTACCGGCCTTCTGGGGATTAGGAATTTGAGGATTGTTGGTGATTCTCTTCTTTCTTATTTCGGGAAATAATTATAAAGATTGGACCGTAGCAATTATACCTACCTCTATATGCACAAACATTCAAGGACGTTCGAAATAAGGTGGACTACTCAATTTTAAGTCGCGCTTGTTCTATCTCTACAAATTCTTTGTAAAATGACAGAGATGGCACGATATTTAGGCACGACTTAAAATTGAGTAACATTTCAGTATTCCGACTAGTCTCTTGAAAGAACGACAGTGACTCACATGACACGAAAGGATCTGTCATTTTCTTAAGTCTGGTAACGTGGTAACCTCGGAACAATAACTAGGCATGGAAGCCAGGCTAAAACAGCAATTTACAAACGTATATCTGATGCTCTCGCTCTTTACACGATTTTGCGTAGGCGAGAATGAGACCGCCAACTGAACATAGTTCTAATAATTTGCAGGTTGTCACAACTTTCAGTGCGTTCATTACAATCTTATGTCATTGGACTCATTCTGCATACTACCAAATTCAAAATCACGTTTTGACGTTCTATGTTTCACAGTTTCACAGAAGTTTGACACCTTCCTCACTTTGCCAGATTATAGTACTGAAGTGTTACCGTGGTTGTATTTACGGCTCCTGATAATAAAAAATATTTTCTAAGGAATTAGCACAAAAGAAAACAAGAAAGAAAGTGTATGGTCGTTCTTATTTATTGTCGTACTTTTCAATTGTAAGCCTAAACAGTATTATTCTATCTTTTCCTATAAAATCTAAATCAAGTTAGTTTTTAAGCTAGTGATGTGGTCATGTTACATATCGATATTTTAGTTAGGCTTTGAAGTTCTTTATAGTATAGACGTCGTTTAGAACCAGAGTCACATGATACTTTTGATGATTTGACAGAACACGACTACATTTTGTACCCATCATCTCTTACGGAATATTCTTAAGATGTCATAGAATACATAACCGGCGTTATCTGCACGAAATAAAAAATCTTTACAATGTGAAAAGATCTTTGATATCTTTAAAATTAGAGGAGGCCACCGACATATGGCCTAACCAAGATCTGTCTGTCCGAAAAAATTATAAAAGAATATCAAGTGCATATTGATACAATATCTCTCGGTACCTAAACCAAAATAATTAGATATTAGATTGAGTAATAAAGTTTTAGCAAATGTATTGCCGTCAGAAATTTTTCGTGACTTAAAAGCATGATTATATATATGACAAAAATATTTTAAACTTAGGATACATTATATAACTAAAAATTTGACTGTACCTACCGAAAAAACTCGCACATATTTAACAAAGATATTTAAAGGTCAATGATAAACACATACCTAATAGTGCACCACTGCCACGGTTTGTAAATATGCTTTGTTTATGAGCAATTAAATTATCTTTTTAATATTGTGTTTTATTTCTGAACCCACGACATCCAGATCGAGAACTTAATGTACGTTAGACCACAGCAGCAATATTTTCAGGTACCATAATTTATCGATAAAATATATTAATTTATTTCCATCACTAGCATATATACAAGTAGTGACAATGACAACCTGCATGATAACGAAACGAAACAATAAACATGTCTCTTTCTTATACACTATCAATACTATAAGTAAAAACAGGATGAAGATATGGAGTCTAGTTGTTATTTTAGCCTGGCTTCCATGCTTTAGTTATTGTTCCGAGGTGGTACCCATTACATACGCACATAGGTAAATAACCCACTGACATTTTTCTACTCTTATCATTTCTAAATGACATTATGTCCGCCTTTTTTTCAACGTCCTTTGTGCGTGCTATATTAAATGTAACACCCAATTATAGGTAGCAATTTATGTTACAAGGGCCAAATAACGATGGCCTATTTGCCATACACCGGGCACATCTTTAAATTTAGAATTTTGTTGTAGGGTATGGCCTCGTTCTAGTGCAGTGGCTGAGAAACTGTGGAGCGCGGAATCACCACGATACAACAATAGCATTACCAAAGAATTAAACTGCCGTATGGAAGAGCATACTTGCCGCATGAACCGACGCGGCGTACACGCACAGCCACCCAATGGGCCCGGATTCTGTGTTGGTGCAATATAATTTGTTTACAATATTTAGGTCCCTTCTAGGTAGTTACAAGCAGATAATTGTATAACAATTTGCTTTATTAAAATGTGTAAAAATATAATATTCGTGTTTTATTTTTTAATCCTTCAGCACTAATCACAGTACCTAAAATGTTGGAAACTAATTAAAGGATACCGAGTTCGAAAGCCCAGGTGAAATTATAGTGTTGAACAAAATAAAATACATATTTTCTCACGACTAAGTAAAAAGTCTTATTTTTATATTAAACTTTGGTACTTCTCTATGAAAAGGATTGAGATAGAAAGCTCTACGAAGAGACGAGTGGAAGGAAGGTAGGAAGGCCCTGCAGTGTGACAACCACAGCTAATAAAAAAACAGATCTCCACAGACTCGTGTCCGTGTCGTAAGCCTCGAATTGAAAGTTACAAAATAGCATAATTGTTCCATTTAGAGGCTAGAGGTATCGGCATAAAAGAAACAACTAGGCTATTTTGTAACTTTCAATTCGAAAGATCGAAGTGCACTCGATTACTGTCCGCCATATCATTACCTCATTTATTAGTTGTGTCATGTAGGCATGCTTGTGAGAAAAATCTCAACCAATGAAAGCCGAGAATGCGATCGGGCTCATTTCGAAACCTCGAATTAATATTTACAGCATTGCCTAGCAAAGGAAGATTATAATCCACATTCGCTATACACTCAAACTTCCGCTATACAGTATACTCTTTGCTTCCAAGTCCGACAGATGTCATCCAACGCCAAAAAGTTTGAGTGGGGAGGTCTGCAATAACATATGGGCTAATTTTAATCCCACCGGTACGCGAGCGAAGCTACTGGCAGAAGGTAGCACATTCACATTTACAATATTAGTAAGATAACTTTGTTAGGTAGCTGTACATGTGACATACACTATTAAAACTATCTAGGTATCTATCTAACTAATACAATCATTTATAGTCATAGTCCTTTGGTTATAGTATTTTTTACTTAATTACTGGTTTTATGTAAAACCTTCCTTAACAATACCTACCTATGGTATTATAGTAATGACCTAAGCTATGACCAATGAGGAAGGAAAATGTCTATGCAACATAATTTGCTCTGGACTGTCAATCGACCCATAATCTTTGTTTACTAAAACATATTTGTGAAATTGCAGATGTATTTGTGAAATCTCGCGTTTTTCTCAATAAAAATCCTAAATTTCTGTAAGCCAGTGTAAGCCTTCTAATAAATTCTAATTATGTGCTCACGCAACCAACTCGGGGGCAAACTTCTAAACCACGCGATGGAGTTACCGTTGCGTGGTTGATACGCTGAAGTACATTAATTTGTATTCAAGATTCTTAGACTCCTTTCAACCAGCCCATCAATGCTATCCTGCAAGCACTTGCAATCAATTTCATTCCTAAATTCGGGTTCAACAACCAGATCATCAGCAAACAACAAACAAGAGCAATGTTTGACGACATCCGGCACGTTGTTTATCATAATCGAAAATTCGAGAGACCCCATATTACTGTCTGACTTGCTCCAAATACGGATCAGATAAATTACCATTATAGTTGACCTATCTACTGCTGCCTATCTTTTTTTATGGGATTAGCCGGTAAACGAGCAAACGGATCACCTGACGGTAAGCAATCGGTGCCGCCCATGGACACACGGAACACCAGAAGCATTACAAGTGCGTTAGCGGCCTTTTGCGGATCAGGAATATGAGGATAGTTGGGGATTTAAGGGTTGGGCCCTCAGTTATCTCATAGAGGATTGAGGGCCTATCTGTACCTAAAACCTATGTACGTATACCTCTACTATATTACAGAAAAGTGCTAATGCCAGAATATTAGCTAAAGCTAAACTTTGTGAAAAAATATATTGTCGGAAACGCTGTCCTAGTAGACACTTTGTAAACCTTCTTTCAAAACGGGCCCTCAATTCTCACACGTGTCCTAGTTTATCATGCAAATAAGATGAATCAATTAACTTACAGCTACTGTTTAGGTATATATTACATCCATAAATAAATTCTGAAAATTTGTCAAAGCAAAAAAAAGTCACTCTTCTTGTCATTTGCAAGTTATGACCAAAATTGGTGTTATTCGTTTCACAACACAGTAAAATATCTAAGTCTGTAAGCAGCGCGACACAGTTGACTCAAACACCTTAGCCGGAGTTGAAAACACTGGCCACTGGTCCATGCCCATCAATATTAGACCCTACCTTTAACTTTGGGTACTGGGATACCTCTGGCAATTTATCAACATGTCGGGAAAAGTCCCTGAACGCAGATTTAAGTTAAATACACAACGCACAGGTTCCGCTAGTATTCTGTTTCAGTCTTCAAGGCTTTGCTTAACTGCCAACAGAAAACTATTGAAGGCGAATCTTCGGCTAACGTCGCGTCGGTTAACGGTAACGCCTATAGAATTGAATGTGTTAATAAGAAAAGCTGGTATACCATCAGTACCCGGTAATCGTTTGGCTTTTAAACGATCAAGGGCAATTTGTACATTCTTGACAATAAGCTGCCTAACATCCACATCTGTATTGTCTCCCCGTCTCCGCTAACGCTGACTCTTCTTGTGGATTCAGTTGTGACGGGTGCGTATTGTATACAGGACTCGAAAAGGCCTCAAACTATTGAGCACATTTACTGTCCGTCCGATACTTACCGTCTTTAACAATGGACAACCGTCTACGCTTTTTATTAATCATGTTAAACTTGTTTTGCATAGTTACCGTGCTTGTTTTATTTATCAACACTTTAAAACCACTTGTACCAAACGTCGATAAAAAATTGGAAAGTTTGGTCATCGTTAAAGTTATTCCCGATCAACAATACCCACCGACGAAAGGGGAAGTGTGGCCAAAACCACAACAGCAGATTAAAGAACAGACTTATTTTAAACTATCACCTTCAGTTTTTAAATTTACGGTAAGTTATTAAATAAACACTATCCTTTTATAAGGTCACAAGTTTCAAAAGCAGAGGGCAGTAGCACTCTCTGATACGGACATCAAGTTCAACGGATACACCTAAACGTTTTAAATCATAGTCGCCAGCAGTGATGAATTCACATCATTAACAAATAATTCTTGATCTCCTAGTGAGCAATAAACACTAAAGGAGGCCATACACGCTAGGCTTTGCATAATGGTTTTAGCCGTGCATGCATAACCGACAGGCAAGCCCTAGCGTGTATGAGATTAAACTGTACAGTTATCGATGCATCGGTGCTCGGTTATGTTTGTAGGTTTTGCATGCAAAGTTATAACCATCATGCAAATCCTAGCGTGTATGGCCTCCTTAAGGCATCGTTAACACTAACGTATTATCCGCCACCGACTGTGAATATACTCACTTTCGACAATGCCATACGCAACAGAACAGCGTATAGTCGGTTCGGTGTGAACGAGACGTGACATATCGAAGATATGGAAAACGATAAACTACGTAACTCGCGCTTGCAGTTAGCGGCCGACAGTACGTTTGTGGGAATGATGCATTACGACACTGTGAAGTAGGTACACAGTACATACCTACCTCAGGGAAATATAAAGTCGGCTGCACCTAAAACCCTCAAGATGATATACCATGCCAATCAGTCACTGGATATTATTTAACAGGAAAAGGGGGAAACGTGTGAAATATTAAAAAATGCTATTGAACGATACACCATAGTGCTAAGGGACATACACCGCATAGTGTGCAGACATTCCAAGAAAAAATGGAAGCATGCGGAAACTCGGAAACTGGATACAAATCCCGACTACAAAGGTACGCTGGAAGAACTGCAGATAAACCTCAGCAGACCGTGCGAGGCCTACCCACACATGGATATGGATGAAAACTGTGAGTGCTTATTTATACAACAATGTTTTCAATTAGTGTAACATGACGTCGTACGAGCAGTTCAGGAATACACATCGCATAGACTGTGGCTCAGACACACACACAATGGGGATTGGAGCTCCAATAAGTACCGACAATCTCACTGACACGGTGAAACACAAAATAAGAAATGTTTCACGCCGGATTTCTATGCGGTCGTTGTACCACTCCGGTCGAGACGGCAGTCGAAGCATGGCATCCCCACGTTTAAAATATTTTAGAATAGAATTTGATAATCTTTGTCCGACCAAATCCGAACGAGATACTTGACAATCGTACCTAGTTACGGGCACTTGATCAATAAAATGTTTACAAGCCACAGTTCATTACAAAACCACTTTTAGATGTTCCAAAACTTTCAAATTAATAATTTCCAATTCTGGGAATTTAAAAATATATAAAAACACAATAATGTTTCAGATAGTCTCAACGTTTCTGCAGTGTCGTCGCTGACCAGTGACTCCATATGGGGCATACTGAGGGGCATGGAAACCTTTGCACAGTTATTCTACTTGTCTAACGGGTATAAAGTGAGTTCACGTCCATAATCCATAATACCTAACTTATCTTAAGTGAGAAAGTTAAAATGTATGTTAGGATCGTCCTGGATGTCTCGATCTGATGAACTGCTGTCTGGTTACAGGATGTTCTCATCAACTCGACACAAATCGTGGACTTCCCGAGATACCCGTATCGAGGGCTGCTTATCGATACATCGAGGCATTACCTCAGTGTCGCTAACATCCTCAAAACCTTGGACGCTATGGAAATGAACAAGATGAATGTTCTGCACTGGCACATTGTGGATGACCAGAGCTTTCCTTATCAGAGCGAGAAGTTCCCGCAACTAAGGTACGCACTTAACCGTAACCGAAAACAATAGCAAAATGTACTTAGTTATACTTACATAAACATAATCATTACAAATCGCAACACCTACTGTTTGCAGTGAACAAGGTGCCTACGACCCCTCGATGGTCTACACGAAGGCTAACATCAATAAGATCGTCAAATACGCAAGAGACAGGGGGATACGGGTACTGCCTGAATTCGACGTACCAGGTGACTGCTACATTCTATCAGATTATACACTTGTGTTTTAATACTTTTTTGCCTTCAACAGTCACCACTCATACTTCTGCCTATGATATCTCCTAACGAATCTTACCGTTTAGTCGGCCTTAATGTTTCAATACTTTTATCCACAACCACACAAGTCCAGAGACGCATTAAGCACACATACATGTCCGATTGTGTCTCGTGATTACGTTAATCTACGTATGGATAGGAATCAGATAAAAACTGGATTAAATTCGTGGATTGTAGCGGAGATGTTTGTTGCAGCTAACTACGACCACGGTTTACTAAAATAGCAACGTAATAGATAGTGCTGTAAGGTTTCAAATTCAACCTAACCCGTGAGCAAAAGGTCCACTGCATTTCATTAGTAAATTAAAAGCCTGTTATCAGGACACACGAAGTCATGGGGCGCAGCATACCCAGGAATTCTTACACAATGCTATGAGTCCGGCAAAGTAGTAGGCTTGGGGCCTATGGACCCAACGCAGAACACCACGTACAAACTAATACGCGAGCTGTTCCGTGAAGTGCAGGATTTATTCCCCGACAAATACTTCCATCTTGGAGGTGACGAAGTTGCTATGGACTGCTGGTGAGATTTTATTCATGAACATAGTTGTCCAAGTCTGTGCCATCTAAGACTAGGCTAGGGCACTTGGGCACACTAAAACGTAATGACACAAACTTATTTAAGTTATTTGCAACCTTAGTATGTAGTATGTTATGCCTATGTTCAGCAGTTGACAATTATGATTAAGTTAAAAGCATTAAATAATCTCCTAACGTCGTCTATCGGGAATTTGGAATAACTATCAGTCTCATAATGATGCGACACGCTTGTATAGGTCTCGTTCTATGTAATACTTATATACAAACGACCCTTAACAATATGCTGTCGCTCCTCATGAGAAGAACCTACACTGAACGTCCTCAGAAAATGAACCCTAAGGAATCTATTAATAAATAATTACAAATACAGATATTACTAAATATTAGTAGAGATGTACCTACATATTATAATTAATCAATAAGGTACAAAAATTCCAGGAGATCAAACCCAGACATTTTGAATTTCATGGCTCGCCACAACATGACTAGCACCAGTGAACTGCACGCGTACTTCATGACTAAGGTTCTTCCTCTGTTGGGCCAGAAGTCTAAGCCTATAGTCTGGCAGGTACGTTTGAGTGCAATTATATAATAGCTTTCTCCGTCTTTTTTTTTATGTTGCCACTCACTAGGTTTTTCTCCTGTATCGTGGGTGCATTTACAAACATACAAGTTCACATACACATGACACCCAGACCCGAAACAACAATTTTGTGGATCACACAAAGAGTTTGTTCCGTGCGGGAATCGAACCCGCGGCACGTTGCGCGATACCCAGATACCCAGCCACCGCGCAAACCGTGCAGTCAGATAGTTTTGAACTATCGAAATTAAGACGGTATGTACTAACGTAACGTAATTCTTTTATTACCTATTTTAATTGGGTACTTTCCTTAATCAAAAATAAATTATTTCGACTGTTCAAAACAACAAGATATCTATTACTAGATCTATTTAATCACACTTTGATAAATTGATTTTATTTTAGTATTTTTCCAGCAATTTTTTAAGAAATGAGTACCTATGCCTTTTGTCAATATCTTACAAAATTCTTAGAAAACTGTCATTTTTGACAGTTCCAAAAAAGTTTTGAATTTTATTCGTTGGTAAGTACCCAAGAGAATTTCCCTTGAAAATGTTCAGGAGGTCTTCTATGACGGTGCGGTGTTACCTAGTGATGCCATCATACAAGTGTGGAAAACTATTGGACCGCAGGATATGATTGCAGTAAGTTGGGTTAATTATGTCTTTCCGGCAGGCAAGTTGCGAATAAGGACGAAATTTATTGCAACTAATTTATTGAATAAAATTACAGAAAAGTATTATCACTAAATTAAGTGCCTCTTGGTCGAAGTTGGAAACAAAAGGGTCGTGTATTCTAGAAAATTATGTCGTCGTCCGCCATAACTACCTACATAAGTTCATTTATTTAATTTATACTTTATTCTTTAAATAGAGGACAACCTAAAATTACAGTGTATTGTGGACAACGTATATAAGTATAAGGCCTACTCGATGTCATTTGACGAATGCATGCAACCGATGATGATAAATGATGATAATGATAAGCGGATTTGAATGAGTAGTGACGGACGCAAGACGTTGCCGCTCTGTAGACTCAGTCCTAAATGGTTCTATGGAAGATGCAAGCGAGATCAATTTATTGACGAATGGTGTGCGTATGACGTGCGGCTGCGTGGCCTAAGGAGTCTGAAATCGGTTTCTGTAACTTTTCTTTACCTGAATTTTACCCCAACAATCATTCATTTTACTAAAACCAAAACATCGCACTGCGATCAATACTTAGATAAGAATAAGAATGTTTATTTGCACGAAGTATGGTAATTACAGATGATAATGATTATAAAAAATAGTACCACATACATCGCCTGCTGTTTTTGGAATAGGTATACTATACTAATAGATATATCTACTGTGATAGAAGTTGAGCACGGGATTAAATCGCGCGGGAGTCACTAGTTACCCATAAAATACGACACTCATGACCTGTATGCAAATAAATCTGCACTTAGTATGTGCCTTATTATTAATTGACATTATTTACTCAGATCCTGTCCAAACGTCACAAAGTCATTTACTCCTCGTCCTGGTACCTAGACCAACTCAGTAATGGCGGAGATTGGTACAACTTCTACGTTTTCGATCCTCGGCGCATTATAGATTCCAAATCATTGAAACTAGAAGATATTGTTGGCGGTGAAGCTTGTATGTGGGGAGAAGTAGTTGATGATACCAACTTCATTGCTAGGTGAGTGTCGCGAACGTATTATACGCAATTACCTTCGCAAGACGTGTTAATAATTATAACATCGCGATGCTGTATTGTGCTTTATATTAATAAAGCATACTTACTTCTATTGTACAGGGTGACTTGTAACTCCACGTATTCCTCTCGGAAGGTAATAATACAACTTATTTCCTACAAAATTAACCCTGAGGTCTCTATTCCAAAAGTGGCAAATTTCTGAAATATTCAAAATTTTTGGTTGTGGATAAATAAAAAGTAGGTTCTGATTTGATTTAAACTGTCAAACACCAAGCGGTCACCGGTGACCGCAACCTATTGTTCTATAATTGTGTCTACAAAACCGGTACTCGACGAGTTAAGTGGTTTTAGTTTTAAATTGTTGTCAATATATGAATACATTTATTAATACAAAACTGTCAAACACCAAGCGGTCACCGGTGACCGCAACCTATTGTTCTATAATTGTGTCTACAAAACCGGTACTCGACGAGTAGTTATACTGGCAGAAATGTCAAATGGTTTACAAAATCCATCCCAATAATCTGTTCCATTGCTTATTTTTTTTATTAGACAGCTACACTACAAGACACTGATTTTTTGTGGGACAATTTTGTTCATAGTTTTGAATAAAATAAATACTGCACAAATGTGGGCCTGTGTGACCTCTTATAACATTTCTAAACAAATCATGTGCATGCAGTTTTTGGTTGATTTTAGGGTGTGGCCTCGAGCCAGCGCTCCTGCGGAAGTTCTGTGGTCTGCCTTGAATCCTCAATACACCCTCTCTAATGGAAGTGAGATCGCCAGCCGTCTAGAGGAGCATGTCTGTCGAATGAACCGTCGCGGGATTCACGCCCAACCAGCCAACGGCCCAAGCGTTTGCATCGGGAGAATATAATAATGTTAGAAAAACATAGTTATTATATCAATTAAAAATGTATTTATTACACTTGTTTTACACATTTTTAAGTATAAAAAAACATTAAGAAATATAAAAAGCAGCACGTAGGCCACCACTCCACCAGTAACGGGAGAAATCCAAGCTACACGGTAGCCCTAAACACGGAATCAGGGCTCCAGAGAAGGATTTCTAAAATAATAAGATCGTTGTGACTAGGCACTGGACACTCCTCTTTTTACTGGGATAGGATTAAGATATGATGTCGTTGTGGTGCAGTGAGTGAGGAGTTTGGAGTGCTTAATCAACACAATTTAACTTTCCACAGAACCGTAGTTTTTGCAAATGATGTGATTTGTCTTATAAAAGAACATAAATATCTAGCTGCCGCATGAACCGAAGCGACCTCTCATTAAGTTTACTCGAATTCCGTTACCTAGATAGTTTAATAAAATGCTTTCTGTTAACTAATGTCCTTTTTATTTTCAATCCTCTGTTTAATTTACGAACGTAAAATTGAAGACAACATAACATGACATAACGTCATGCCTTTTATCCCCGAAGGGGTGGGCAGAAATGCACTTTACGGCGCTTAACTCTTTCAGTCACACTTTTAACTGGTTACGAATATATTTTATTCAATTATACTAAAATGCTTGAAAACCAATGCAAAGTAATTTGAAGACTACTTAAAAAATTGAATTTCTAAGAAAAGGTGGTTAGTTACAATGACCACCAAGACTGAATGAGTTAATGCCACTGTAGTGTAACACCCACATTTCACTTTTTATGTTATGAGTCCCAAGTATGTAATAGGAGGTGAGATTTTTTATAAAAACCCAGTAAAACTAGACCAGGGAACCGAACCCAAGACCCCTCGCCCCGCAGTCGCACTTGTGACCACTCGGCCAACGAGATAGTAAAATGAAGAATTTAACCAGTTTAATGTAATTTTTTTGTAGGTATATTTTATTAAATAAATTATTTTTATACACCTATTATATATAATAAGGGAATAAGTAGTAGCCTCCAAAATAGACACTAATTATAATATTAGATTTTTTCTACATTAATGGATATTTTAGTGTCAACACAGTAGTAAAATAAACGTTTTGCATATAATTTTGATAATTCAATTTTGGCGCTTAATGGGTGAAATCAATTTTCCAGATCGACGTTCGTTGCCTTATTACCTAGCGTAACATAACCATTTTTATTAATCACATTGAAATACGAAACAAATGAAAGATACGAATTAAATCATTAATGCTAAATCCGCCTATCGTTGCATGCCAAGGCGGATTTAGATGCCGCTTCGTGGACAATTTTCATTGTTTCTTAGCAAGATGCAAGCATTTTGACATTATAAGCAGTCTATTGTTAGTGATGAATGCGTCATTTGATAGCAATGTGGACAGTAGGTACGTCTTAATAAAAGTAGTGGTATCGTTCATAGCTTCTTATCATACGACATTTATTCAGTTCGTTCATATGGCAACTCTAAAATACTGTCAAATAAATACAAGCTGTCAAATCATAAATGTCAAATTTTCAAATTTCAAAACAAAACGTATTTTTGTTTGTTTCTAATTACACAAAATTTATTAAACTTTATTTGAGTGTTTGAGTCGGTTTATATATTGTTTGAATTCAAAATGTCCATGGTTGAAGAAGAAGTGGTAGTTGCACCGTGGGTTGGACCTACAAGTTGTAAAAATACATTATCAGTGATCGTGCTCTCATTCAATAATGATATCATTGAAAAACTTTCAAAAGCTCTCACAGAAGTCCACGACAAAGGGGACTATCATTGGAAACTAATTGTACTGAAGTCGTTTTATCTTGAAGAAGTGGTAAAACGGTCTGACCTTACCGGGAAGATCGGTATCGACTTCGTTATATTAGCAATAGACACAAGTCGACTATTCTGCTTAAAATGGGCAAGAAATGCCTTGCTGCAAGTGAATTCAGATTTAAAGATTCGCCGTGTGGTGCTTGTAAATGCTAGTGGACTTCCAGTGAACGCGATGGCAATAAGTGCCAGTGATCTGATAAATTTCCAAAACGAAATGAAACTCGACATTCTAACTGCAAATGTGTTTGATCCTGAGAATGCTACATTTTTGGCGCGCAGATTACTGAAGTACATAGAAGTGTCTATTGGTGTTAAAACTGGTATTCCTAATCTTAATGTATGATCAACAATTATATTGTAAGTGTAAATAATAACAATTAAGGTGTTTGAATTTACCCAGTACCTAAGGAGGTGTTCACACACTTACTGTATAAGCACATATCAGAGTGTTGATGCTTTAAATTAGAGAGTTTCTTCTATAGTCATCTATAAACTACATAATATTTTAATGCGAAGTTGCAGAAAAGCAAACACAAGTTGTATTTGTTCTGAACATGTATAATTGCATAGGATCCTAAAACCCTAGTTTGTTAACTCTCCAAACCTTAGTCACTGGTTAACATACTGGGTTTTGCGGATATAGCCTTATACTCTTAGCCCTTATAGACGTCGCGAAGAACCTAACGGGTAACCAGGGCTCCGGCTCAACGTGCAGGAGAAGGAACGGGGTGGTTTTTAGTCAGTAAGAGTCTGACACTCCCTCCCGCCTCACCCAGGCGAGAGCAGCCATTCGATGATTTTCTCCCCTTAAAAAAAGCCCTTATAAACCTTGTCATTGTCATCAGCCTGTAAAGATCTATAATTAAAAATAATAAGAAGGAATGAACATAAATTACTACACTAGCATCACCATCAGGTGGATTAGCAATTTTAGAAAGAAGATTGCATCTTCATGACTGCATAGTTAGTGTGGTGGAAGAGCAACTGGCTCCCGCATAACATGTAGTCAGTTTGATTTCTGCATAGAGCAAATCTTTGTGTGATCCACATGTGTGCGTTACCCAGGCCAGACTTTGTCGAAAATGGTCATTTGAATCTTATAGATAATTAGTTGAGGCTTCTGTAATTGTTGCGCACATTTTTAAATTTGTTGCAATTATAGTTTTTTAATTATTTCACAAAAACTTTTCCTGCTTGGGAACGTTACCCCAGCCAGACCTTTTTCTTTCTAATGGGAATATTAAATAATTACTAGCTATAAAATTAGTTATACACCATTCTTGTATTTGCACAAATAACTGGTTTATGCTGAAATACTTATTTACAGTAACCTATAATAATAAAACCATTATACATCTTGAACAGATCAAACTGTTTATTTTTTGGAAAACCAACAGCTACACATGGAATTCAAATAATGGCAAAATAACATCAGAGAGCCAATTTGAGGTTTTTACAGCTTTAGACAGTCCCAGAAATTATAAAACTATAGAATTACTAGTCACCTGTGCACTGCAGTATTTCTTGAGATAATAAACTGGATAGTTAGTTGGATGAACAGATGAAGAATAGCATATGATAGGATAGATGTAATACACCACTACACACTCCTTCAAAGATACACCGATAATGGTATCGTAGTATGTTATGATTATGAAAATAAAACTATTTATATACACATTTCTGAATTATTTATTATTTGATTGTACTACAAAATAATAGGAAGTTCTCTACAGTTACAATTATATTATATATATTACATAAATAATAAAACAATTACAGCAGTCCTCACTCATATGTAGCAACCTCTCAATACTCATGTAGCAACACTATTGCTAGGTAGTTGTATAAAAAACAAAAATTAACTATAGGGCTGTGCAGTGACACTGGATAAATGGTTTACTCCCATCTCGGCGCCTTGCCACCAGAGCATCAATCTGGTTGTCTTTAAAAATTTCCATCTCAGCCCTACTCGTAAGAAAATGGAAACACAGTATTCAGTAAATTAACTATTTATAATCCAATTAAATATTAATTATAAAACAAGCATGATTTTTAAAGTAAGCTCTACTGTCTATGATGCGTCATTTGAAAAATGCATACATTCCATGGAATAGTGTTGTAGTCTAAACATAAGTTTATTATTTATTTAAGTTGAGATAACTCAAGGTATAGTATAGTTGACCCATTACGAACGTGGGAACTGGCATAAGTTATATTTATCAGGTGACATATCAAAACTAGAGTGGTTCCGCCGAGGAAACGAGATCTCGCTAGACGACTTGTATAGCTCTGTTTCTTTCCCTCAATGGAACCATTCTGACTTTAGGATGTCATAACAAACCCGCGGATATCTCGCTCACACTTGTGCGAGTTGTGCGACATAGTCATATTCCTTTGACGCAACAGTTCGCACGTTTGTAATGGCCATGGTAGACATTTTCTCTATGTGCGCCACTCGCAAATGTGGGCACACCATAATTATGTTGAATAATAAGGTACCGAGATGTTAATTATCTTGTAGGTAATGAAAAACTAATTCATATAATATGTTTGGGAAGGTGCATAGATGGAACTAAACTGGATAATTATAACATGTTCTTACAACTAACTGAAATACTGCTCATTTATTAATATAATTGTTAATAAGTATAAATAACATTCTAAGCATAGAAAATCTGTAAAATAATCCAAAACTACAATAAAACAACGAGAATTTGTCATAAAACAGTGTCCATAAAATGCACTACAATTTCCATGTTACGGCTATAGGTACATTAATGTAATCTAAAATAATATATAGCTATAGATGTTGAATCTAAAATTAAAGTCACATTAGTGACTTGATTAAAATAAACGTATACAAAAATTTAAAATTAATCAATATCACAACTAAACCACCTGTTCAACGGCAGGCAAATAAATACAGTCACATAAACATCACTTAAATAATCCCACTGTGTGATGTACTAGGGTCCGTAAATCAAGTATTTGCACATAAAAACACAGTCAAACTGCACTATGATTGCAATGCAATGTGGGTACACAGTTATGAACAATAATTGCTAAGCCCAAAACACACAAATATTGTTTCCCCTAAGATCTCATTCTAGTAAACATTTCACCAATAATAATAAATGTTTCATGAGCAAACCTAGTATACAATTATTCCAACGCTTAAATCATAGTACTGAATGGAATCAAATATATTTGGAAATAAATACTCTAGGTGTCTAGGTCCAGGCCATACAGAACATACAGTAACAACTAGGTATAATTATATGAAATCAGCTTACTGATCATGTTTGTCTTCATTTTCATATAATTTGTATTAACTTAAATTACCTTCAATATTGCTAAGGGGATTTTAAAACAGATCTGATTTAAAATTGTATTACCACTGCAGCAAAACGTGGATAATAAACATCACCAAAATAATATTTATCTAATCTTAAAATTGAACATCAATGTTACTAATGGTTTATGTGCAGAGTTGATAATATGTATATTGAAATCTAGTTTTCTAATTTTACAGTCCAATATTGGTTAAATATACATAAACCAATGAATAACATTTAGTTAAGTTGGTGTTGTAGTAACTATACGTAGAGTAATATATTATCACTATATTGTTTACATAGTGGGTGCTTTTCACAGAATAATGATCAAATGGAGTACAAATTGCGATTCAAGTGAATATACTATGCATTGGCCAACACAACTCATCATTGACTTGCTGACTGGTTCTTTTATGTATAAAGAGTTCACTACAAATGGAATTAATGTGTTTGCACTCCATTTGCTCACTACTCCTACTAGTGTACGGTCATACATTTCCGTGCGCACTCTCGCGATCACTACTATGTTAAACACACAGAAGTTTTCTAACTACAAACATATAACTTATGCTAATTTCCTGTACTGAGAGATATAGTTAAAATTTACCAAACTGACACCTGAAGCATCCTGCAGCAGCTTCTGTACAATACTTTTAAACATTATTTGTCAATATAAATTTTTATATACGTAAGCCTAAAATGTATGGCTGTAAAATAGACCTTTACAGCTGGTGTGTACTAGCAGACTTGTTACAAACAAAACAACCATTTTTTATGAAATATTTCATTTTCACATTAAATAAATCAACAATAAGAATAAGATATAGTATAACCAGAAGCTTTCTCAGGATGCCTCGTTTGTTCGACAGTACCTTACATCATCCTTACACTGTGTCAGAAAGCATAGAATGTTAACTCCCACAGGCACAAGTGTCACATTTCAAGACTGAGCACATCTACTTATATGTTGTAGCTTAAAATATGACCAAACTTGTGCGTCTTATCATTTACTAATAACGCCTTAGGCTTCCGCTGTTGTTGAATTTACCGAAACAGTGGTTCTCCTTCAATATGAGAACACCACTTATCTCACCAGGAAATTAAATGGACATTACATGGCTAACGTCTAAAATGTTCAGAACTACAAATAAAATACTGAGATTCTTGATATGTAGCGTTAAGAGCGCAAGCCTCAAGGCGAAAAGCTACATTTATGGAGCTAACACTCCAAAATATCACTGTATTTTGGCCAGATGATTACCTCGAGCGCAGAGCGCAGTGGACTCGGTCGGCTGGTGGAAGTAATGTTCCGGCCGACCGACCAGTCCGCGGCGACGACACTCCACTCCATATAGCAGTGTAGCACCTATTATCGTTCACTGTACATATTCGGTCCACTTTGCACCTCTACCTGTAAAAGATATCAAATCATTCTTACATGGATTGTTTTACAAGTGTGTAAGGGTGAATCTCAATGAATGTTTGTAGAGACGTTCCGCACCATCTAGTCGGAGTCGAGGTTGACGACGTCCTGCGCGAAGGTGGGCGGGTGCTGGCGCGCGGCGAGGGGCGGCCGGCCCCGCGGGCGCGCGCCGGCGCCGGCCATGAGGATCTCGCGCGAGCGTTGTTGTTGCAGCGCCATGGCCACGGGGTCGCGGCTGCCGAGTCCGCCGGCGTAGATCTTCGCGCCCATTTGCTGTACACAGTTACATAACATTCAGATGACAAGCGCTTGACGCGCTTTTTGCTGTACGGTTATGGTTTAGTATGCAGTTAGAAAAATTTGAAATGATTCATCTTGCAAACACGCACTAGCAAAATGCGCGTCAAGCGCTGGTCAACGGAATGTACATTGCACATACATGTCTTGATAAAATAATGTTATTGATAAATTCATACAATTGCTATGAATTAAGTGATGGCAGCAGTATCAAGTATCTACTCCATCATGAATAATAATTAATTAGTTTTACTAAATAAGAGTTAATAGATGTTAGATAGTAATTTAAAAAAATGATAAGATAGTAGCCGTGATCTTGGTCTGTAAGTTTATTCAGCAATTTTCATTAAGACTTCTTGTACTCCGTAAACATGTAGCTTACAGATATACAGGATATACTGCATGCATATGAAAATGAGGACAGTTTTTTTAAAAATTTGTGTTGTGGAACAGCGTGGTTTTTAGTCAGTAAAAGAATGACACCCCCACCGCTGTTAAATAAATAAACGTAGTAGTACTGACGTTTTGCTGCATGACTTGCTGCAGCCGCATCTGTTGTTGCTGTTGTTGCTGGCGCAGCCAGGGCGGCTCGTACTGCAGCGAGCTGGCCGCCGCGCCGCTCGACGCGCCCGCGCCGCCGCCTGGGACCACGGGACACGTACAGTACAACACATCCTCTTTTACTACGCTTACTCATTCCGCAGGGTAACAGACACCAGACAGCATTTACGTCTCATAAACCTGATCCTTTTGAACTGCAATGTCTAACCTGCTAGTCAAGTGTAGAAAAGAAGGCGAGACCCTCTTGAAGAAGCCCACAGTTGAGCAGTGGACTCTCAAGGGCTTTTGATGATGATGACACTCATAATTGTCAAATTTATCATCATACCATTTGGTATAACATTCTAATTTCTTGAAACCTCACATGAAAGACATACGTAAGATTAACTAAAAATCGCGGATGTCGCGCAGCCTACTACAGCCTACAGACATCGCCGCGACCGCGCACGCTGCTCATGAGGAAGAACCCCTCTGTGGTTCAAAACTAGTAGAGATTATCTCGGTATATTCACGTGAGTCACCCGCGATTTTAGTTAATTTAGTATGTCTCACGATAGTTATTATAAAAACATATGTAGGATTATGTATAATATGTAATAACTCACCAGAATTCATAACAGCATTCATCATATCGGGATTCATCATCCCCGGTGGTGTAAACTTGTAAAGTTGAGACATTTTCTGAATCAACTGTAAGGTATAACAAAAAAAGAACGTCATTGAAGCATCAAGGTAAATCTGCGAGTTGTGCATCTCTACAAAATAATCATAATAACATGCTTGAAACATAAAATAATATACCAAACGGCGTTTAGACTAGGCGTACATACATATTAAAGGGCTATACTAATATATCGACTAAAACTTACGCCAAAGTCATATCCACCGAACATCTAGACAAATAAATGTAAAATGTGAATTAATTGTTACTTGATTATTTATTTATTTAATAATGTAATTAATACTATAGTCCTATTGTTCTGTCATTCATGTGGAAAATATAAAACAACATAACATCACGCCTTTTATCCCCGAAGGAGTAGGCAGAGGTGCACATTACATCATTTAATGCCACTGCACAATGTAACACCCACTTTTCACTATTTATGTTATGAGTTCCATGTAATAGGGGGTGAGCCTATTGCCATATACCGGGCACAATTCCAGACTCCGTGTTACTTACTATTGGGATTAAAAAAAACATTAATATTTTGCCCAACCCAGGAATCGAATCCAAGCAAGCGTGGCCGGCAATCGCACTTACGACCACTCGGTCAACGAGGCAGGCAGTATAAAACAATTTAGATTTAAATTGCAAAATATTATTTCGCTTTATAATTAACTGTAAAACGTATACCTATTTGTAAAATATTGACATTAATAACACAGAGCATGATGCATGATTGAAATAGTACTTTGATTAGAGACTGACACATAAAAATCGACCTAATATACGATTAATTTTACGTCAGTCACAAAACTTTAGAATGATATTAAAATTACGACATTACAGGTTAATATAATGAACATTCATTTTTTAAAATGTACAGCAATAGTTTTAATCCAGTATATTCCTTTTTGTATTTTAATTATAATGCATTATAGTACTAATTACTAATTAGTAGTAGTAAATTAGTGCATACGAAATTATAAGAATTGCGCATTCATCATTTGCGCTTTATGAGCAAGATGGTTAGCAGCCACCAGAAAGTCATAAGTGTATAATTTAATTAATTTTGAAAATAATAAATCGTTTCATTTTGTGTCTCTAATCGATTTATTCTTGTATGTAGGTTTTATCTGTTAGATAATTCATTCGATATTTTTAGTCAGCACCATTTCTCTAGTGAAACTTTAATTCAAATACCAAACATCATCCACAAAAACCAAGAGATGTCTAAACGACTTTAGTATCAAATATGTATAGATGTATACATACGTTTATAACACATACATAAGTGTTCATTATAAGACATTCATAATTCAAAGCAAAATATGTATTCCAATATGGCGACTACTAGAGGCACTCTGAAACAAGTCGTCAATCAGCTAGATAAATTTTAAGAAATAATGATGATGAGAAGTGATTCAATATGTAGTGTGTGAGTACTGACCCCTGGGTTAGAGTTGTATATGAGCGGCAACATGTCCCGGATCTGGTTGTCGTTGATGTTGGGCATGTCCTTCCGCAGCATGGCGGCCAGCGCCGCGTACGCCAGCTGCTGCTGCTGCGCCGCCAGCAGCCCCGGCACTGCAACCACGCGGGTCACACACTACTTGTTTCCCGGCAAGGCCGGTAGGGAACTAGTTTGGCGTAATAGTAGATTCTTACTCATTCCATTGTGCATGGGCCAGGCGGACGGGAAGGGCGCGGGCGGCGGCCTGTTCTTCTCGTTCTCGAAGTCCTCCCAGGCAGCCTTTCGCTCCTCCTCACTTAGAGTCTCCTCCTCCTTGTTCTCCAGCAGAGAATCATGCTCGTGGTACTTGTAAATCTAAAGTAGAAATAGAACATAATATACACATTCATTTAATTTATGAACAATAATAAATATACAGAAAAGACGACTTTCGAAATTTAACTTATGTATAATATTTCCAATAAGATCAAATAAAATATAAATTGATACTCCTTACTTTTTTATTAAAAACAAAAAGTATAATAATATAATTTCGAAGTATCATACCTGAGCCTCGTGTTCCCTGAGCATTTCAGCGAAGAGTCTGTCTTTGGGCAGCGCGGGTATAGGTCGGGGCTCGTTGGGGCGAGCCTCGAACTTGTACAGCTCGGCGAGATCGTTCTCCGCGTAGTGTCGGTCGATCTGTTGCTCGTCAATTACTCGCTTAGAGATCGCCTGCTTCGTCACTTGGCGCTCATAAATCTTCTCCTCCATTGTACCCTAGTCAGAGTAATACACATTTTTATTTAAAAAGCTAACAAAAGTGATGGTATGACAGCTGTATGTTCTTATAAATCGGAATAAAGTTTAGATTCAGAATTAGATTCTATAAGTAAAGAAACGAACCAATTAGTAGATTAGTTAGTCTTAACTTACCATAGCTAAAAATCTGTAAATATAGCAAGGTTTCTTCTGTCCAAACCGGTAGACCCTGAATATGCTCTGGACATCATGTGAGGGGTTCCATGAGACGTCGAAGATGACCACTCGGTTGGCGGCCACCAGGTTGATACCCAGGCCACCCGCGCGAGTCGATATTAAGAATAACCTGGATCCAGGAATTGTAGAAAATTACTCGTATTATATTGTCACATAGCTTGTAGAATAAGAATGAGTTAGTACAAATTAAACATGGTTTTGTTATAGAAAGACCACCACGAGAACAGGTGAACTAAATAAAATCCTGTAAAAATACGTGTGGAAGCGATGCTTGCTTATCAGTGGTAAACGAGATGACCACTGACCAGTCAATTGTTTATAATTTGTACAAATTCATATCACAGTTTTATTTAATTTCACGTACCTATTTTATTGGCATTCTGATTATGCGCAAATGTGTGTAGTAAAGCTCCTAGTTCTTTTATAGGCAGTGAAGATACTATGTGATATGATGCGTGATGCGATACTGACCTAGCTCTGGGGTTATCTTCTCTGTTGAAGTTCTTACACCAAATAGATCTGTTCTCACAAGATGTAGAGCCATCCAGCCTGAAGTAATCTACGCCGGGTGCCCACGAACCTGGGAAACACACAAATAATATAATACTTATAAAATTGAAATAAAGAATTGTCACAACACATGGTAACTGTATTAAAATCGAGTCACTAAATAGTTTGTTACAACTTCAACTCGGTTGGAAAATGTGAATAATTTGATTTATTATTTTTGAATACAATTTATGTAAATAACTATATTGTAAACTTTATTGTTTAACTAACAATACAAAAAACAAACAGCACTGTGCTGTTGTCAGCTTTCCATACCGTCTGATAAGGAAAGTTGGAAACGGTTTACAAAAAATAAATACATAGCTTTTATACTGAGATATAATCGTATATTAATTACTTTAATTTTTTATTATATAAAGCTGAATAAGGACTTTGTTTGACAGCACTAATTTCCGAAACCAGTGGATTGAATTTAATAATTATTTTGAGTTGAATAGTTCATTTATCTATTAATAGGCTATAAAACATAATGCTACGGTCAATAGGAGCCGAGCAGAGCGGGTAAAACCACGCGAGAGTAGCTACAAAAGATAAGATTGATTTAATATTTCTTACCGACGTGTCCTCCGAGTTTCTCGTCGATACGTCCCTCTTGCGTCGCCTCATCTACTTTACCTAGGAAATGTTCTATCAGATCTAGAGAGTACAGCGATTGCGAAAACACCAATCTGGTGACAAAGAAAAACATTATGTATTATGGTCCATTTTTAAAGAAGTGTTATAACTTGGCTTCATATGACAAACAATTTCGATTTATTTTCACCACTCATTGTAGTCCTTATTTTCTATTTTTTTTTTCAAAGATCCATAAGTTACTATAGTTATATATTAACTGTTCAATCTCCCAAGCGGTCACCAGTGACTGTTTTCCACTAACTCCATTATTGACCTTATTTCCGATGTTTAGAGACTGCTTTTATATCACCAAATTTAAGGGATATCGGGTACGATATAATCAACCTATTAATATTACATAGTGTCTAAATTCACAGCTTAATGAAAAGCCGTAATATTTTTTCGCTAGTATATCTACAACAATGCATAAAACAAGCTTACAGTTTATCCCCAATAGTCTCGCACTGGCGTAGAATGTCAAACAGGAGAACGAGTTTGTGTGAGTTGCGCATGTCATCGAGTTCCTCCTCCTCCACCAACTTGATCCACCACTCCGTCGGGTTCTCATTCCTCACCTCCACCACCTCAGCCACGTCCGGATCGTCCTCGTCCGCTTCCACTGAGTAACAAACACAGAATATTTGTAAATAAACAAGAATTACTAACTGAAAAATATTTTTTGTATGAAATATTTATTGTTTATTGTATGAAATGGATATTGTTTTTGGGAAAGTAGATTTTTTTTCATTAAAGAGTGTAAGTCTATAGTACATTTTAACAGTTGTGTTTAAAATGGTGTTTGAGATAAAATGATGTTATAAGTAAGAATAGAAGAAGCAACGTAAAAAAGAAGCAAGAATGTTCTTAACCCAAGGTAAGGTATTATTGTAGTCCTCCTAACAAATCACCAACCACCAAACCACACAACAATAATAAAAAGTTTGATTGTCATTACCGTTACCTGGGTTGGCCCTGGTGCCTCGCCGCGTGCCCACCTTCGAGTCTTTACCCTTATTCTTTTTCCCCTTATTCTTCTTCTTGCTCTTCTTTCGACTGTCATCGCTCATATCTGAGAGTTCATCCGTCGACTCTTCTGTTGAAGTTTCCTGTTACAAAATATAAATATTGGTATCATCATCAAAACTATTACTTTTTATTTTAAAGTCCACCATAGTCTCTGCCTACCCCCATGGGAGTCAGACATAAGTGACGTTTTACCTTCTACTTACTAAACTAAACTTTGGATTCGTTTTATATAGGTATTATTTTGTGACGCGACAAAATAAAAAAAAACCTATCAATTATCTTTTCATTACCTATCTGACGGACTAAAGAGATTTTTAATTGTCATACCACGGCATCATTCCTATTGCGCGAGATTAAATGAAAACTGTGTTTGTCACTACAAATATTGCAATGCAATTATTTCAGTCAACAAACAATTATTCTATTTTTGGTATTATTAATTAAATTAAAGTTAATGAAACTTTAGACCGACAGTACTTTTGCAAGATTACCTGATTGATTATTCTTTAGTTTTTACTATTAAATACTCCTTGCATATTCAAATTAAAATATACAACTAACCTCTGGAGTAGAATCATCATCTATAAAATCTACTAATGATCCTTCTGAGTCTTCTTCTTCTCTCTCCCTCTGAAAAAGAAAGTATAAATTAATACAATCATCCATAATAAATAATAGAGAGCAATAATAATAAAAAACGAAAGATCCTAGGGCAGGTCCTTTTCCATTTACAAGATATACAGAACCAAAGAATATATATATATATCGTTAACTAAAAATCGCGGGTTACTCACGTGAATATACTGATAAAAGCTCTACTAGTTTCGAACCACATAGGGGTTCTTCCTCATGAGCAGCGTGCGCGGCCGCGGTAATGTCGTGCAGCCTACTCATCGCTGCGACCTTTTAGAGTTTATCTCGGTATATTCACGCGAGTAACCCGCGATTTTTAGTTAATTGAGTACGTCTCACGATAGTTATTATAAAAACAATAAATATCGTAAAATATTATCAAGAAGAATATGTTTGGGGAAAGTATGTTTTGTATTGTACCTTTTTCTGCTGCATAATTTCGTATCTTTCCGAGTTATATTTGAGGACAAGTGGATGTGTCCATATCCTCTGCAGCGATTGAAAGTCAGGGAACAGGAACCCAGAAGATTTACCAGGTAGCGGCCTGCGAAAAAATTTTAGGTGAAGATGATTTAAGTCAATAAACTCTTTGCTTTCTACTTTCTACTAGATTTACTATCTTATCTCTTTTTGGGTGGATCACATAACATCACTGATTTACGATAATGAGAAAGAAATGAAACATACTATTTGTCTAGTGGGAAAACAACCAACTGTCTTGCAAAAAATTACATTGTCCTTGGAATAAGGGAGGGAGCAACAAACATCTTATACTATTGTATACACGTGAAGAGTTTGTCTATTTGTTTGAACACTCTAATCTCCGGAACTACTGGTGCGATTTGAATAACTATTGTGTATTTATCTCGATATCCAGCCTTATATTTAACCTTCTTAGGAAGGCTTAGGCTATAAAGCATCACGCTGCGATCAATAGCAGCTGAACAGAGCGCGTGAACCCGCGCGGGAGTAGCTAGTATTACTATTGAAATTATTATCACACTTTATTATTATTAGTTAAATAAAATACGTACCTTCTAGAGTAGTTATCCAAATAGAATTGGTAAAGCTTCACTTGCACGTCGGATAGAGTGATGAAGAGCACATACTCGTGTTTCGGAGGCAAGAAGGGCGCCAGCACCCCATAGTCTCTCCTCTGTAAAGTGAATCATCATTCAAACCTATATCAAAAATTGAAGCGAAACATGTGAATTTATTTCTGCAAATAGGTTACAAGGCAGTACTTTTACACGTCAGTTTTAGCGAACGATTTTTTTTAAGGGGGAAAATCATCGAATGACTGCTCCCGCCTGGGTGAGACGGGAGGGAGTGTCAGACTCTTACTGACTAAAAACCACTCCGTTCCTTCTCCTGCACGTCGAGCCGGAGCCCCGGTTACCCGTTAAGTTCTCCGCGACGTCAAGGCCAAGCGAACGATAAGGTCGACATTTCCTAACTGACTACTCTGAGAAGAAATGCCGAAACCAACTCAGATGTGAGTGATGTGGTTTAAAGAAATAAAACAATTCGCTATACTGCATTATGCAATGTCTTTATCGTAGTTATACAAATACATGCATTGACTATGACATTGATTGAAAAAAATATCTACGGATTGTATATACTGGCTGACTTGTAACTCGACGTATTCCTCTCGGGAGATGATAATACAACTAATTTCCTACAAAATTAGCCCTGAGGTCTCTGGTCTTTAAAATAGCAAGTAAATTAGTATCAAATTTAGTTTTGAGTAACTAATTTAGCCAATAGAAAACTGCATTTAGCTTATAAAATTTATATTACACTAAGCGTACAAACAATTAGAAAATCTTCCTTGGTTTATTAGCTAACCAAAAACATTAAATTATTTATAAATTTTTCAAAAATGAATGAATAACTTGATGATAAGTTAAGTGTAAGGGAAACGGGCAATTTCAAAAAGATCGTTATTTACAAAATTTTATTTAAAGTGACCTTCCCTATGATGAATACATGCCCGCACACGCTTCCTTATCTCTGTAGCGGTTACTCTATAGCCGCTTGATAGAAGATGGACGCATCTTTAGATGCTTTAAATACTAATTTTTAGAATACCATGCATAAGGACAAGGTCTCCATAATCACAGATAAAACAATGTTAAACAAACATGTTGGGGTGAAAATGATATAACATTAATCTACATCAACATAAATCAATCGCAAAATATATAGCTAAGCATAAAAGTAAGCGTAAAAGTCAATTATATTGATGAACCAATCTTACATATTCTTTTGACATTTTTTGATAATATTCATTGAAATTCAAGAAAGGTTGTAACTTTTAAAAGAAAAAAGAGAAGAATGTAAAACAATACAGACGAAACAATATTAAATAAGCCAGCTAATAAACCAATAATTTCAATGCAATATCACAGAATGAGAAAAAAAAAACATATAAAAGAAATGGTTTACATACTTAAAAAATCTCAATGTTTTTTATAAAATATGATGATTTTTTAAAAAAAAGTATGGTATTTGACAAAAAAATATGACGACGTCACAAGCCAGATGGCTCATACAAAATACACATAGGAAAATATTGTTTATGTTCCAATAAAAGTATTGTATTTGTCTAGATGTCAATCACCATATTCCATGAACATACCTGAACAGCTCCATCGAGCATTTTATGCAGCACATGGGACCGTCTCTTCATGACCTTGATGTCATGTTCAGTCGAGTCCGTGTACTGGCCATTGGTGATGGGGTTCACGAAACGATTCAAGTACTCGTTGTACTTTCCAAGCAGGTTCGGCTTCACGAATTGTACCATGCAGTAGTCTAGATAGAAAATATATTAAATTCAGATACATTCAAATATTGCCGCAATATGTAACACAGAAAATAATGCCTTGCTTGGTATATTATCTGCACTCCAGTAACTCCAATAACATTATATTCATATTATTATGGTCTTTAAAAAAAATTAAGTGCCGAGTTTAAGGAATCGAGACTATCGTTACATGCTAAAAAGGTTAGATTATGTGTTTAGCTGAAGAACTCACCATAAGAAGAACTCACCACGAATGATTATTTTTAGGTACAACTTATATGTAAATAATAATTTATTTTTACTGAGGAAACAAGCATATCTTTTTTATTTTTTAACCGAATAATTGGGACCAAATCTATTTAGCTACGACTGCTACGAATATATAACTTATTTCTTTTTACTAAGAGTACATTAAAAATTAAATTTGTAACTACAGCTCACATTCTTTCAAGTTGTTCTGTAGCGGCGTGCCGGTGAGGACGATGCGGCGTCGCGTCTTGACTCTGTTCATAGACTGCGACAAACTGGTCTTCTCGTTCTTCAACAGATGCCCTTCGTCACACACCACCAAATCCGGTCCTGTGCCAAATAAAGTACATGGTATAATTACTTATATAGGTAACTACCGGACCCCGCGAACTTAATTTCGGCTTAGATTTTTTTCTTACATAAGAACCTGCTCCTACCAATAACAAACTCGTCAAAACACAGAATTAGCGGAAACGTTACAGCTGCTCTCTAGAGTTGCGCTTAGTAACACATTCAGCGATTTATTTTTATATTATAGATTTTCTGACAACATTACTGCTAGTGGTCGTAAAAGTCTGAAATCTAAAGCCATACTTATTTGTAATTGCCAATTAAATAAATGATTATCGAATTCAGATGTACCACGTAAAAGTAGTAATATATGAACAATATATTTCTCATACCTGGATCAACAAGGCTCTCCTGGAAACTCCTTAGCATCTTTTTCTTGAACTTCTTGTTGTTGTCAGCGGAGAGGTTGCGGAACATCTCGTACCCGAGCACACACACCCCGCCCCCTTCAAACCATTGCTGCAGCTGGAACGCTCGCTCAGAGTTCTGTTTGTACCTGTGTCATCATTTAATACTATTATACCTGTATTCAAGTCACTCCATTTTAGTACTTTTTGAAAAACAATAGTAATTGTAATTAGCATATACAAAACAATTGTCATCAAAATAAGCCTTCGATAACATGCAACAGTACTGCAAGAGCTTGGGGCAGTCTATAATGACAGGGCTTTAGTCCAGTGGGACTATAGGCTTCATCTACATTAGAATGGTTTGTTATAATTTGTTTCGTTAATTATTGATTCGTTTTTATCAGAGAGCACTGCTGTACGGGTTAAGTAGGTAGTTTGCTTTTAACCTTTACTACATCCACGAGAAGAGTAGGAATTGTTATAAGTGTTCTATTCTGCCATTCATCACCATTTTTATTTAGCAGCACCAGTTCTCTCAGCAGCGAAAATAAATAAAATAAATTTATAAGGCTATGTTCTCCACACCCAGCCCCACAGGACCCAGTCTGCAGATGGGGCCCAATTGGGCTGATGGCGATTCGGAGCCACGGACATAACGGGTTGCCGGGGCTCCGGCTCGAAGTGCAGGAGTAGGAACGGGATGGTTTTTACTTAGTAAGTCTGACTACGCCCACCCGGGCGGGAGAAGTCATTGAAAGATACCCGCCTCAAAGAAGGTATATTCTATTATTCTTACCTGGACAACTCATACACATCGACTTCGAACTCAGAGTGTGCGTGTTTGAGCCACATTTTGATCTCGTTGACCCAGTTAAGTACAGTGGACAGAGGACAGACCACCAACACACGGTTCACGTCGGTCAGAGCGCCGTGTGTCAGCAATGTATGCGTCAGGGATATTACCTGCGAACAACGTTTTATTACAACTTCTGATAGGCAATGGACCATATAACAACGAGGTCAATAAAGTAATCGACAAGAAAGGAATACTGAAAACCTTCATTTAAAGAAAAAATGGCATATTGGGGTTTCCTAGTGACGTACACACATTATTTTACATTAATATCACAATAATTTGATAGATATACAAATATATATTTAACTCTGATTTAGAGCTGTTATACAAAAGTAGCCTCATTTTTTCCAAAATCTACACAACAAAAAAACGATATAAATATTTAATTTAATTATGACAGACGTAAACTTACTTGTAGAGTTTTCCCGAGACCCATACAGTGCGCGAGGATACACCCGGACCCCTTGTCCTTCTTGATACGTTTCACACTCTCAAAGCACGCGTCCCACATGAACTTTATTCCGTTAGCCTGAATAAAAATAATATTTATGAAAATTTTACTAAATTTTAAATTTAAGGGAGTACAAAAATTGAAGTTATCAGAGTAGAAAAAAAGACAGACTTCAATCTTAATCTTAAAGACAAGGGCAAGCAGAAGAAAAGTAAGTAGTAACCAGTGGGCTTACTTTTGAATCCAATTCCGATCAATCGGCATTGGTATTGTAAAATTTCTTACTCTTGAGTTGAAACACTAGCGCCCATTGCATCCGTATTGCGTGGATAATTAATGAACTAAATGGCATTGAGTTTCCCTTTATATTCCGTAATCTGAATGCTACTTTAATAGCTACGATTGTGGTTGTATAGTTTTGACGTTGAATAATTATTGAGTTTTTATTGGATTGAAATTGCGGATACATTGAGATTGGTTTCAAGAGAAAGCACCCTGGTACAGCTAGGCAGTTCTGTAACCGTCAATTCGAATTTTTGAAGTAAGCTCCATTGTATTCTTGTCCGTCATTGGACGAGATTATTCTCACAACCAATAACATGGCAAACATCGATAGAGTTCACTATACTCTTTCGAATTGAAACTTCCAGAATAGTTAGCTAGCTAGTAAGAATAGACATTGCTTTGAAAAACCCTATTCATTATTTACCTGATGGGGTTTCAGTTTCTTCACAAGTCCTCTATCGACCTCAATCAGTGGCTCTTTAGTTTCAGGGTCGAAATCTAGCACCACCTTCTCCAAGACTACCTCGTCCGGTTTGCCAGATTCGTCAAATTCCATGTTGTTGTACTGTACACAAAAATGCGTATAATATTATTACAAAATTACAATGAAAAAGTGAAAAGGCGTAATAGTCACTAACCTATACAAGTCATATGTATTAACAATTTTAGTTATTTGGTAAATTTTGGACTTTTCCAGACATATGTTGTCTATGCCATCGGTTCAAAAATATTGATACAGTAATATTGGACACAGATGCAGTTAGCGAAATAATAATTTTAAAATCGGGTATCCTACGCAGTAGCAACACTGCAGACATTTTATTCTAATAATATTCAGTTTACATGATATACTCACCAATTTTTGTCTCTCAGTAATACGAGCAATCCTTTCTTTCTCTTCGCGAGCTGCCTTCTTAGTGGCCTCTTCCAACTGGTTCTTACCCATAACCTGGACACAAATATACAATTAATATCTTCATAATAATTATTACGATACACAGACCTATAATTGGTCTATCTTCTAGATCTTTTAAGGGGAGGCCTACATTTAGCAGCTGACATTTTGGGGCTGATATGAGTTCTGTCTTTTTAAACTCTTAGGTACATAAGATAGGTATCTTATATCTTATACACAATATTGAAGTTTCATTTATATTACCTTACGTATATTCTTCCTGCCATGTTTGTTTCTTCCTTCATTCTCAGTGTCAGATCCAGAACCATCGCTGTCCTTCACTTGTTTTATACGGCGACGTTTCTTTTGGCTACAAACAAAAATAATATTAATTTAAATTAAGTAATAGGATAGTAAATTAAGGAATAGGATATTATTAGTACTGATCATATAGGTGTGAGTGGGTGGGTAAACTCGATAGACTGCCTCGTTGGCTGAGTGGTCGCAAGTGCGACTGCCAGGCAAGGGGTCTCGGATTCGATTCCCGGGTCGGGTAAAGTATTGCTGGGTTCTTAAAAACTCTCAGTAGTAGCACGGAGTCTGGAATTATGCCCGATATATGGCAATACGCTCACCCCCTATTACATGGGACTCATAACATAAATAGTGAAATAGAGAAGAAGAAAGAGAGAAGTGACATTACGCCACTGTACAAAGTGGCGTAATGTGCACCTCTGCCTACCCCTTCGGGGATAAAAGGCGTGATGTTATTTTATGGTATGTCCTTTTGTAGTTGAATAGGTGAATAGGGTAGTAGATAGTGTAAGAAAATTAAAAATGTAATTAGTCCGTCAATTAGATAATGAAAAAATATCAGACACATATTTTTTTTTTATTTTGTCGTATAAGAACACAATACTTAGATAAAACGGAGTTAAGTTTAGGAGTGAGGTCGTTACGTCACGCTACCCTAGAAAATGTAGTAAAGCGTGACGTCACACGATATTTCGAATCAATATATGTATAGTCAAAAGTATTTAATTTTGTAAGAGAAGAAAAAATACGTATCTAATGTTCTAAAATTGTCTACCAATCTAAAAGTGTATATGATATCCATCAATCATTTTGTTCTATTTTTGGGCATTATGCTGTTACTACTTCAGTAGTCTTGTTTGATTACTGAAGTAGTAATCATGTTTTAAGCAAGCCAGGAATCTATACCAACCTGCCTGTTTGACACTAATGATGCTCGACTGCCGACAGAAAACTGGGAACCGTCTATTAACCGGTTACCTGTCACTGACGCAATGTTCAGAGTTTTTTTTAAGGGGGAAAATCGTCGAATGACTACTCCCGCCTGGGTTAGGCGGGAGGGAGTGTCAGACTCTTACTGACTAAAAACCACCCCGTTCCTACTCCTGCACGTCGAGCCGGAGCCCCGATTACCCGTTAGGTTCTCCGCGACAATGTTCAAAGTGTAAGGTGTAAAAAATGTGTTTCAAACTTACCCTCCTTCATTACTAGACCCTCCTGAAGCATCACTATCAGATCCTTTCTTCTTCCGCTTGGAACGCTTCTCTCTGGACTCTGAACTCTCGTCCTCAGAGTCCTCAAAGTCACTCACTCTAGCATCCTCATCCCTCTGCTTACGATGTGAAGTTCCGCCCTCAGAATCCGAAGATATCGCGTTCGCCTTGCGTTGCCGCTTTAATTTTACACTGGAATTAAAAAAAAACTTAAGAATTATTTTATTTTATCTTAAAACTTACTACTAAATAGTAGTATAAAGATTTACTCAATACAAAATTTTTATTATAGTATAATTTTGAAAATATGAAGTAAATAAAGTACTCAGTAGATGTTTATTCAAGTCTAATTTTTGATTGACAATTAAATAACTGTGGTAATCCTTTTTTATTCAGTAACCATAAATTAGTTGCTATTTACTATTTGTAGAATATTAAAAAATTTACTTACTTTTGTTCATCCTCCGATTCCTCTTCATTGCGAGGCTCCTTTAAATAAATAATAACAACAATATAGTATATTCGAACACAAAGCATATAAAATATAACAGATAGTTTCAAAAGCTTTATACCTCTGCCTCGCTGTGTCTCTTTTCATTCTGTGACACTGAAGAATCACTCTCGCCTAATAAATCATCTTTAGCTAAATGCCCGATACTATCTCCATTTAGTCCTGATGGTATGGTGGGCAGCTCTAAAACATAATAAAAAAAAATTGAGCAATTTTTTAAGTATTTAGTTATCCAACCTATGTAATAAATATTAAGAAATAATAAGATCGAAAGCAAATGAGTGATATTCACTGTTGATTTATTATCGCCCGAATAATAACAGGCTACTTAATTTTAAGTTGTACAATACAGTACAGTATATATACAGTATATCGTGCCGTCTCTGTCATTTTACAAAGAATTTGTAGTGACAAAATTAATCTTGATAATATTGGGTATAGTTTATTTCTCAAGCGTAACTTAAAAATAAATAGCCTTTCAGTATTCGGACGTAAATCACATAGGTGAGTTCTATTTATAGCTTATGATAGATGATGTCGTATGTTTATATTATGCACGCTATCGATTTATCCGCATAATTAGAAACCTTACTTAGGTAACTAGCTTTTACCCGCGGCTTCGCTCGCGTCACAAATGGATAACAAGTAGCCTATGTGACATATACACACAGCGCCATCTATACCAATGATTTCATTTTTCCTCGAGAATATCACATATTTCCGGGATAAAAAGTACCCTATTATTTAATCCAGACTTCTAACTTTACGTTTGCACTAATTCAAAGCAATCGGTTTAGTAGTTACGGCGTGAAAGGGGAACAAACAAACAAACAAACAAACTCACTTTCCTGTTTATAATATTAGTAAGGATTTGTCAATGTGTTTAGTATCAGAAAAACCGTTTGCTCTATAATATTAGTGATACTTCCACAGGTTTCAAGTTACTTTAATTTTCACATGACATTAGAATTCACAATATTAAATTAGGTATATTGTAAATTCAATCTCCTATTCAATAATAATTCACACTGTCTGAATAGGCACTAGTGAATGTTCTTACAACTCGTATTACAAAAGTAGCTACCATGGCAGAAACTAGGTGCTGTTCACAACGTCAACATCAGTTGGTATTATTACAAAAGTATTACGAAAGCATAATGTTACTGTTCATTCATCAAGTTTTGTTTTCTATCATAATCAAATGGATTCATTGAAGTATCTAATTGATTATAACGTTATCTGTCATTTAGTCAGAAACATCGGAGTCCTGTCGAACTGGCCTTAGCAATTCAATTGCATTTATTTACAGAGTACCTAAACTGCTTATATCTTTTAAATATCTGAGATTCTGGGAATCTCAAATATGAGATAGGTCAAAGAAGATGAATAAAGACGGTAAAAGGCTGTGATTGGTTGGTTCATCGGAGCCGGCCAATCAGAGCGCCGAAAGCGTGCTCGTTTCGAATACTTTAAACGTAAATCAAACTCGAACTAAGGCCTCTGATCTATCTCAATTAATTCGTTTATTTAATTTCCTTTATTACTTTACCTTCTTCAGGCATATTTTCATCATCGGAGACTTCAGAACTGCTAGCAGCTGCAGTCAGCAGGTCATCATACGTCACTTTCATATCCTCAGTTTTGACTGTGAGAGTCTTCTTACCACCGCTTCGAGTGCCCGTATTATTCGTCGACGGGGAATCGCGCCGTCGGTGTTTTTTGTTTAAAGTACTCAGATTTGTCAGTCTACAAAACATTTAAATAACCCTGATAAAACTGCCAAAGGTGTGAATGTATGTAAATATTTTCATTTTAATCCACTTCGATATCCCATGGTTATCTGAGAATAGACATTATACTGACGAGTATGCACATATGTCGATTATTATATCAATGCAAGTGTAGATTGATAAATAACATTAGGTATAGACTTGTCTTTTATCTACCAATATCTTTATTAAACTATTTACAATGTGCTTGTAAATAGAACAATATATTAGCAATTAAATATGTAAAAATCCTTTAACGCCTCTCCATTTACCCCCATTTTTCGCGAGCCAAGTCATATCTATAAATTGCGGGTGAGCCTACCAGCCATGATTACAGACTGTGCTAGCAGGGAATCGAACCTGTGGCTATTAAGCCTTTAACTGCCGACAAAAACTGTTAAAGGCTAATCCTCCGCTAGCGTCGGACATTGTCCGACACGGCAGCCAATGCGTTAATATTATCAATGCGACCACTCCACCAACAAGACTACGAAAAACTTATATTTTGCAACCAGATATTTGCGTGCCTTTTTCTTATGCATAAATCATGCAGGCCAATGAATAATGATGTTTGCTGGCTAGTGCGTTCGAACTTTGTATAAAAGACGACGAGAATGTTGAAGTGATTCAGTTTCTTATTAGCAATGAAGTTTCGTAATAGAGTTAATGCTAAAGTCCCACAGTGGAATATTTCGACAATACAAAAATTGCACAAATAATGAAGGAATTAATCATTCAATGTTATATGCTGACATCTAGTCATAACTCTTAAAATTCTTTTAAGGATTAAGTACAAATAACCAACACCAAACACTGCAGGGCCAAATTAGCCACTTCATTGTTTAAATAACCCCTTTTTTAAACTTGCATACAATATTTACCCATCAATGTCTTTGTCACTTGCATCTTGATTATCAGAGTTTTGACCGCTGCTTCCACACGGTTTTGCCTTAGAACGTACCATCTGTAATTATTATCATAATATTTATTCTAAGTTGTATCTCCTTCATTTCAAATCAAATACAAAGCAAAGGTATAAAATAAAATCAGTGGTCTAACAATTTCGATATCTACCAATTATACCTTTACCTTGTATTCATTGAATAAAAATTAGAGCTACCTTGTGCTTCTTGTATCATTGTGTGGAATGAAAAGTCCAAAGTATTTCAATTGGCATTTAATGACTACCAATGAACAAGACATTAATTTTATCCATTAATTATTAGGTACTTAAAAACTAAATGCAACATTTTTGAATACACATTATACCTAGATTAATCACATAGAATAATTGTTTCTACACTTGTAGAATATATACAAGGAATGGCAATTATAAAATTGTACTGCTTATTTGTTTACAATTAAAATGTACTTAGTTCCTAACCTTGCTAACACCAGCATCTGAATGCTCATCACCAGTTCCATCAGTTTTTTTCTTCTTTTTCCTATTTTCCTCACTGGATGAAGAGGAATTAGATTGTCGTGATTTTCGTTTATGGTGTTTATGAGTACTCTCTTTAGACTTAATTTTTAATTCCTCTTCACTTTCTGAACTTGAAGTGTAGCACAATCTATTTCTTTTAGCTTGTCTTTCACTGTTTGTTCTTTTACGTTTTTTTAATTTCTTTTTCTTCTTGGAATCAGGTGGGGATTTTTTTCCACTATCAGATGAATCATTTAACAGGGACGATTTGATTTTATCTGGATCTTGATCTTCAGTTTGTTCGGGGTGCTCACTTGCTTCAAACTCATTTTGTGACATAGCAAATTTATCTTTGGTGGCATCATTACTTGTGACATCTTGAGCACATTCATGTTTATCAGAATCAGAGTCATTAAGCAAAGCATCTTTAATTTCCTTAGCAACTTCTTTCTGTAACTCATTTTCACAATCTTTGGTAACAGGGTCAGAGACTTTATCGCTTCCTGAATCAGATTCATTAAGAAGTGCATCTTTAACAATTGCATTATCTGTTGTGTCTTCCTGGTCTTTTGAACTACTATTGTTAGAATTGTTTGTTGTCTGTTCTTTTGATTGGTGATTGGAATCATTAATAAACGATTGTTTTGCCTTATTGGCTTCAGCTAATAAGTTATCATCAATATTATCTAAGCAAGCATCAAAGTCATTATTTGAAGATTTGTCTTTGATTTCAGAATCAGAATCATTAAGAAGTGATTCTTTTACTTTATTTGCTTCAAATAATATGGCATCATCAACATTATCTGTACAAATGTTTGAAGATTTTTCCTTCAGTTCCGCATCAGAATCATGAAGAAGTGATTCTTTTACTTTATTTGTTTCTGATGATGATAAGGAATTATTATCACCATTATTTAAAGATCTTTCATTTGTTTCAGAATCAGAATTATTGAGAAGAGACTTTTTAACATTCTTTGCCTTGTCTGAAATGTTATTCTCAGTATCTGATCCAGATTCATTCAGTAAGGCATTCTTAACTTTGTCAATATTCTTCTTTAAGTGGTCAGAATCTCTATTATTAACTTCATAAACAGTTTTGTTATTTTGAGTGATTCTCTTCAATTTATGAGAAAGCATAAAATTAGTTGTGAATTGGGGTAATCTATTAATATTTACAGAAAACTGTTTAGGTTTAAATTTTTCAACCTCTTTTCTTTTTTGGGCCCAAAATTCATCTTCACTTTGGTCTGCTTGAAAGAAAGACTTTATTGTTCTTTGCTTTTTACATAAATCATCTTTAGAATTATTATGTTTCTTCTTATCTTTTTCTTTTTGTTTTGTAGTTAAGGCTTTACTTTGTGTAATTTGGCTTTGGTTTGATGGTTGAACTGTTCCTGAACTTAATGCATCAGGCTTAAGTAACTTAGATATATTTACACATCTAATCAGAGGTTTAGAACTAATTTCAGATTTCACAGAATTGTTGTCTGAATCCTCTTTGTTTGTGTCTCCATCACTATTACTAAATTTTCTTTTCGTAAGTTTGGACTCCTTATCATTATTTTCCTTCTCTGAATTTATATTAGTTTCTTCATCAGATGATATCTTATGGGTAATGTTATCTGTGCCTTTAGAAATAGGTTCATTATCTGAGCTATCATCATCATCAACTATCTTAATTTTACTAAACTTCTTTCTAATAAGGCTAGCATCTTTTTTTCCTTTTTTGTGTTTTCCATGATGTGTTTCATCCTCATCAACCTTTGCTTCATTTGCAAAGCATTCAATAAGTTCAGACACTGATACATCTTCATCCAAATTGCTTTTTTTGTTTCCATTACTTACTTGCCTATTGGAAACATTATCATCATGAATAGTGTCTGATTTATCATTAAGTGCAATAGCATCCAAAGCATTTATAACATCATTTTCAACTAATTTATTTTCATAGGGATTGCCTCTTTTCTTTGTTGACTTGTCTGATAAATTTGTATCGGATTCATCTGAAACCTTCGAATTCTGGGTTTTTTGAGATTGTTCAACATCTTTGCTTTTCAACTTAGTTTTTTCAGACTTGTCTGCATGCTTATCATCTTGTTGTTTTTCTGATAATTTGTTCCTTAATCTCTTTAGTTTGCAATCATAAAATACTGGATATTTTTCTTGCATAGAAACTGGCAACTTTTTTGCTAGTACTTTTACTCCTGTATAGTGTTTTAATGTAATTTTCTTAGATATTCGCAATGTGCATGATTCATATTCAAAATAAAAAAATCTGTCATTACGCTTATCTAATGCATTATTGCTAGTTTTCCCGCCATCACTATTTGTTTGTGTCTGAGATGCGTCGATAATGGATAAGACTTTTCGGACGCCGGTTTCTACATTCGCGAGTGATTTTTTTGACAATTCACATATAAGAAGCACTTTTTCAGCTGCTTTCAAAACCGCATGTGTATTCCGTAACTTCTTGCGGTTTATTCTTTTCTCTAACAAGCTTGTCGATCGATCACGTAAATTAACACCAAGTTTAGACATATATTCCACTGCTTCACTCAACAAATCGCCAACAGGCACTTCGGCAGCCATTTCACGAATCCGCTCTTATTTGCAAGCTTATTTTGGTTAATACTTGTTCCGCGTATATTATTAGAATCTAGATTAATATCACTAACACACTTTTCGTTACAGTATTGTGGTACAATGGAACATAATTAAATTTTTCTCTAAAGTGCAAACACCTAGCAAATTCCAAAAACTAAATAAAAAACCATAGACTAAAAAACGTTCCATTACCATACTTTTTTTCGTTCACCAGGCTCGTCCTTTAATTTATCACTATTTTAAAATGTTTTATACTAATTTGATACAACGAAACTTTTAACTTTTGATTTATTTTATAATACTTTCATGTTGAGGTCATTAGACTCAAGCTACGTATTAGATATAAGGATATATTCTATCGATTGCAAGATTCCCATACATGAAATGGAACGCAATGCTTCCTCACGAACTATTCAACTTGGTCGGGTAACCTATGCTATACATAAATATAACGCACAAAATAGCGGCAAATAGGTATATATATGAACTATAACTTATGCAGAGATGTATGAATAATTATCCACAAACAGCCATAACTCTTTTGTCACTGAAATATGGAACAGTACTAAATAATTCACTGTTTTCATAGTGACATAAGGGTGAAACCTAAGCTTTACAAAAAAAAATAGAGGTACCAATTTTTTGTACTCACCTTTCATGTAAATGGCTGAACTTGTGTTTAATGGACACCTACAAAGCAAACAAACTTAACTATGATTGTAAAACATTATAGCATATTATGTTATAGATTACACAGCAAAACTATACACATATTCCGCTTCTAGACCGAAAAATCGGCAATATAGGCAAGGTAAGTAAACTATCCAAAACAGTCGTGAAAAACCATAGACTCTAGAGGAGACGCACCGTACCACGGAAGTAAAGCATGTCTAGTGTAACGATCCATCTATCATTTTTTTCGGCTAATGAATAAATAATATTCTTTTTTCTTGTAACTGATAGTCATGGATGAAAATATGAGTTAATCTTTATAATGTCAATCAATTAAATAAGTGCTTAACAAAACTTAGTTAGTAAAATGTAAAATATGAAGTAATTTTGATAAAAACAAAATGTACTGCATCATAGTTAAAAAAGTTCCGTTTGTTTAGCTCAACATGTAATTACAACATTTACAACTACGAATACGTAATGTATTTTATATTTAAAAGTATAGTATTTGTATATAAAATTAAAATATTTAGATAATTACTAAACTAGAACTAAATGTTTCAGTAGTTGGGTTTTCAAATTAAAACCATTATTTTATAGTTACCTACTTAGACTAAACGTCTTAGAATAAAAATAAATATTTAGTTTATATTTTTATCATCAAGTGGGCTATTCATAAGTCAACAGTACGGGACGAAATCCTTGTACCAAATCTAACATTGTCTGCAAGCATGCTATTTTTTCCCGAGAAAGTTTTCTATTTTAAAATAATGTAAATATTATTATACGTTCGTTTACACCACTTCTCGTAATGTGTAAACAAATAGTCAATAGTGAGAAGAAAATGATACATTGTCTGGATTGGATTGCGTAGATATGGCGTAGACTAATGTCAATGTCGCGGAGAACCTAACGGGTAACCGGGGCTCCGGCTCGACGTGCAGGAGAAGGAACGGGGTGGTTTTTAGTCAGTAAGAGTCTGACACTCCCTCCCGCCTCACCCAGGCGGGGGCAGTCATTCGATGATTTTCCCCCCTTAAAAAAAAAAAAAAAAGACTAATGTCAATCATTGTACTTTTATTTCCTGTCAAATTCAAATGTCAAACAACAGATAGATATCTATTCCCTGTGTGGTTGTGTAATACAAAAATAATGAATTCTATAAGGAGGAATACGATAAGAGCTTTCACTAGATTTTATAGTGAAGGTACTCAGAGTACCCCTCCACCCGCTACACCGTCTCCGCCTGCTAGTAAAGTAGTCCCTGACGTTCCTGGACTGAGCAACAATGTAATCCAACCAGCAGCTACACCTTTGGGTCCTGGAGTGGATCCCAAAAAGACCGGAGCGTATAAAGTACCTGAATATTTTCAGTACGATAATATGAGTTTCTTCGAAGCTGAAATTGAGATGTCCAAGTTTAGATGCCCACAACCATCTGCTCTCAAGAAGTAAATTATTCTTATTGATATTTTTGTTTTAGACCATTTAATAAATTGTTAGACATTTCCTATTTTTTTATTTTCCTTCATTCTTGTGTGAATATGAGGTGTTTTAACTTTCAGAAATAAATGAAGGTGTGTATATAAAAATCATATAAATGTTACACTAATGTTGATTGAACACAGGTTGTGTTTGTGTGATTACTGGATCAATATCTTACCAGATTAATGTTTGTTAGGTTTATGTGAAGATAAGAGATCATTAGTTAGTCAATAGATCACTAGTTTTTGCTTAGCAGAAACATTATTTGCAATATGAAATTAGTTTTTGATAGTCCTGATATCTCTAATCTTACTTGTAAAAGAGATAAAATAAGACTATGCACATCTTCTTGTTAGTCTCCTACTAGGTATTAAGTTCTTCTGATGTGGGGGACATCTGACATCTCGGGTATCCTATTTTGGGCATCTGAGCAGAAAAACTTTGTAGTGAAACAGTCATAACTTGGAATGAATACTATTGTTTAATTGTTAATGTTTTTTCAAAGAAGCAACATTTATACGGGATATTTACTATATAGGTGGCATTGCTCTTGGAAATGTTGCCTAATATATTTTCCCCTTGTCTAACAGATGGACTTACACTTGTGTGATCTGCCTGGTCAATATGATGATCGGTTTGATAGGAAATAAGTAATAACTGAATAATTATCATTGTTTTGTGAAAGACTTGTCTTTAGGCTACCTCCATAAACATTAACAAGTTTGATGTTATGTTATGGAATAGTTGTGTGTTCTTACAAGATTCTTATTAGATTTATTTAAAGTTTATACTATGGGTACCTATTAGTTTATTAGAAATAATACAATAATTAATTTTCAAACTTTTATTTCAATCATAGATTCCCATACATACTATAAACCTACAACTAGATAACGTAAAATGCAATATTACATTTTGAACAGGCTGACTTTTTACACAGTATTATTTGCAATGCTCTTGGTACCTACATAAACAAATGCACTAAACGATAAATGAAGCAACACCACTTTTAAGAATAGTATCATCAACTTCTGTCAGAGTGGTCGCAGGCTCTAGGCTTTCAGCGCACACACTCTCAGCCTCATGTTACTTCTTCTTTGTCAGCTTCTCGGACAGGTCGTCAAAGGTGGGATCCTGGAGGTTAATCATCAAGCTATTGCCAGGAAGGAATACACGGTTTTGAGACTGAGCAATCATTCTAGAGATGCTTTGAGCAGCACGGATCTTTCTCAATTTCAGATAACCAGGGTTCATTCCCATAGCTTTTCCCAACATTTCAGCTGCTTCAGCTTCACCCTCAGCCTGTACAATCTTTTGTTGACGCTCCTGCTTAGCTCTTTCCACAACGAAAGCAGCACGCTGAGCCTCCTGCTGGGCAACCTGCTTGGCTTCAACTGCAGCTGTGTATTCTTTACCAAAGCTCAATTCAGTTAAAGACACATCATCCAAAATAATATTGAAATCAGCAGCACGTTCCACCAGCTCTCTTCTGATTAAAAGTGAGACCTGCTGACGCTGTGTAATCAGCTGTGATGCATTGAACTTTGCAACCACAGACTTCAATACTTCATTGCAAATTGAGGGCAACACTTTTTCATCATAATCAGTACCGAGCTGTCTGTACATGGTAGGGAGTGAACTCGCATCGGGACGGGAGAGTACTCTCAAGGAAATATTAACCATTTGCAAATCCTTGGACCCGGTGGGTGATGAAATTTTTCGAGGTCGGGACCTGATGTCGTAAATGATGGGGTACTGGAACCAAGGAACGCGGAAGTGCATACCTTCACTCATAACGTGTTGCTGTATACCTCCTATTCTGTTAAACATGATGGCACGATGACCACCTTCAACGGTAAACAAGGATTGTGAGATGCCATAAGCTGCCGCACCTAAAACGGCGACCACTTTTATTCCAGCGTTTAGGCCAGGAGGTCCACCCTTGGCGAATTTGCCCGCCATATCGTTAAGCTTACTTTGTGCCATACTTGCGGTATTTTTAAATGCGTATTATTAACAAATTTTAATACTTTTCACAATTATAAATTCTAACCTAAAACAGCAGACCGAAATCGAATAATTTTATTGTGCAACGACCATAGACAAAAAGAACAAATAAAAAAAACTTGATAACTTCTAAAATCTCTCACTTTATTTAGTCGATTTATATTACTAATCTATTATTCACTCTGGTATCCACTCTATGATTTTGCATTGACAACAATAGTGACATTATAATTTTTATATCTGTCTGGTTGTGCATTAGAAATTCAACTGAGGGCAAAATGTCTGTTTTCATAAATTTCGTCTAAAAATATTTACTTTATTTATCTGTAAAATCTTTGTACCTTGTTATTGTACGCTTACATAAATTGAGACTAGAGTGTTATTTATAACTAGCCAAGTTAAATTGTGATCACAACAACATGGATTCGTGTCTCGGAGTTGAACAGGATTTAGACAAAGCTTTATCGAAGTTTAGGTCTCTAAATGATAATTCGAGTAAATTACTACAGAATATGATAGATCAAGTGGAAGAAGTAAGGCGAGAGATAACCAAATGTGAGTGTTTTGTTGTCACCCTCTAAGCGTCCTCTTTGTTCACTGTGTGCCCTGTTTGTGTATGTAAATGGCCATGACGTGACTTTCCAATTTCTATTTATTCCCGTCTATAAGTAAATTATCTGAGTACGCTAGCATATTACGCCTTTGTAATGTGCCCCTATTGATGAAATACATGCGCCTTTCACCTATCTCCTAGTCATTGTGATATTTTTTTGTGATGTAAAAGTTCGTGGTGTTATCTAAGCTTCGTAGCAAAACAAGTTAGCCATTGTGGTTATGTATAGTTCAATAACATGTATGTTTGTAAAAGCAAAGTTTGTTTGTACTTGATAAAGTTACTGCACTGAATAACAAAGGATTTTTAAGATATTTTGGCCATTTTTAATAAAGTGTTCACCATGCGGTAAATTGGTATTTTAACAATGTAGATATACACAATAATGCTTATTGCCCTGTAATATTTTTTTATTATATTACTCTATTCTATAAGAAACTCATTAATTTAATTCTTTATATGTGTTTTAGACTCAAATGACACTCAACTGTCTCCAGCGCAGACCATGTTGATCAATGATTTGGCTGCAACAGTTAAAACAACCACTGCCCAAATGTCTACAGGTAATTGTTAGTGACACAATCATTTTTTAATAAAAATTAGAAATAAGTACATAATATCTATACTATTTCATTGAACATGTGAACGTAGACTAGTGAATCATTTATGCTAGCATCTTTACCTAATGAAATGTAGTATCTGTGTATTAAGCCACACTACATCTATTTCTATATAATATTAGTAGCAATTTAATGTGTCTCTTACTTCATTAGTTACAGTCACAAAATTTGATATTACAATTTTTTTTCATTAGCAATGGTCTTTGTTCTGCAGTAGACATCTTGCTGATGAGATCATCTAAGTAATTATCAAACCCTAGTCCTTTAAATAACAAAAGTTATGATTTTATGTACTATTTCTACATAACATTTAATTTTAAACTCTTCTTCATGTATCAAAGAAACATTTTTGTCTGTACAGATCACCGAGAACTGCATGCAACAGTTTCAAGAGTGGGCAAGTCTATTGATAGGCACTTCATTGCTGATTATGCGTCAGTTGCTCCGAAGGCGGAGTCCTTCTGTAATGACGTCAATAGGCCCATTATGGAACAGGCCATAGCTCAACATTTGTATAGACAGGTAAGCTACAAATAAATAATTTTGTTGACTTTTTTCTTTTTTGAGGGGGAAAATCATCCAATGACTTCTTCCGCCTTGGATTAGGCGAGAAGAAGTGGCAGACTCTTGCTAACTAAAAACTTCCACATTCCTACTCCTGCTGTTCAAGCCTTTTCTTCAAGAGAAATTTAATAGTTATTTTCTAGATTTCAAACATAAATTCATACTTTTTTTAGTAAACATTACTTATCCTATATTTCATGGGGACTAGTAGCATAGTTAAAGATCAAAATATCATGTCATTTATTCATCATTCATCAACAGCCTATAAATGCCCACTGCTGAGCAAAGCCTCTTCTCACACGGAGAAGGTTTGAGCATTAATCGCAACGCTTGCTCAATGCGGGTTGGCGATTACAAACTTATAATCAGAAATTATAAGCCCAGGTTTCCTCACGATGTTTTCCTTCACCGTTTGTCAGTGGTGTCTGAATAATCTTAGAAAGTACATATAACTCGGGAAAAGTCACATTGGTACTTGCTGTTGGTAGGTTTCGAACCCGCATTCTCATGCATGAGAAGCGGGCGTCTTAAACCTCCGGGCCACCACGACATTATTGTCATGTCATTTATACTTACTATTAATTGGTTGGTCTGAATAGTAGTTATAAATGTTTGTGTATAAAACACTTTAAAGTTCAAACAGAACAAAGTGTGTAAGCGCAATTTACAAAATAATGCTAATGTGTTCTGTTAATGAGCCACAACTGTAATTGATTAATGATTTTAACAACAACAAGTTCTATCAGTCTTTCCTTATTCATTAAAGTGGTCTTAAGTGATTGGAAACATGTATAAATTACTTTTAATATCTTGTGAACCAATTAAAATTTATAAACAATTACTTTAGCAATTGCTGTTATATTATAGGTATTCTATTCTAAAACTGATTAAGTTTCTGTAGTGTTTTTGTCGTGAAAAATCTAGTTAGTCCGTCAGTTAGATAATGAAAAAATATTAAGACACATTCTTTTTTATTTTCTCGTATGAAGATACAATACTTATATAAAATGGTGTTAAGTTTAAGAGTGGGAGGTTGTTACGTCACAGCGTGCTACGTTGTGACGTCACACGATATTTCAAATTAATGTATCGTCTAAAGTATTTAATTTTGTGAGAAAAGAAAAAATACGTGTCCAATGTTTTATATTTTAGTTTAATGACTGTCTGGTAATCTACCACCTCATAAATTATGAGTTCATAGTCATGAAAAGTTTATAAAAATTTATGAAAATACAAGTGATCTAAACTTGAATGAATTTAAACTCACGATTTTGTCTTAAAGAGGCAAGCATAAAGCCGCGTGTTACAAATTATTATAATTATACTTTTTTAAGTTCCATCATACTGGTACAAGCAATATAGTATGTCACTATACCACATTTTTTCTTCACCAGAGCCTTCAATATTAAACTGGAACATATTTCATGTAGCTGGTGAAAGCGACAAGACGAAAGCGTTCATTACTTAATATGTGCAGCACAACTCTGCTTAGTCTGTCAGGGACTCCTGTTATTTTCTTTGATATTTTACAGGGCCTTGAAGACGTGGGCGACGCTTTCGTATCGGAAGCTAAGATAACGGGTGTGGAGCGCACTTGTACTTTTGCGTTGCTGCAACGTTGCGCGGCCGCGCTGGCTGAAGGCGACCCCAGCGCCGCCCTGAACTGGGCCGAGCGAAGGGCACATGAACTTCACAACTCTCCTCTACCATTCACCTTACATAGAATGCAGGCACTTAAGGTATGTTTCTGTAATTTCATTATAACTGTATAATAATGATTATTGTTTACAAATCAAAGTTATTTTCACATTTTAATTACATTACAGTCATCATAAAAGTAACTTTGGATTTGTTTGTTAGATCTTTAGTGCAATTACACGTCAAAACTGTATGTGTAAAGAAGAACAAGCCTGAAGTATTAAGTATACATACTTACAAAATAATAATTTGGATTTGTTGCTGTTGATATCTATTGATCGGCTTTTTATATGGGAGAAGCTTTTTGTTTGTATATAGGTATAAATCAAGTTGTAGGTTTCAAACTAGTTGTGTACTTGTGTATTTGACTGCACGGTTGTGCGGCGGCTGGGCAACCGGCTTCCGCGCAACGATTAGCTGCTTCGATTCTCGCACGGAGCAACTTTTTCTGTGATCTACAAATTGTTTCAAATGTGAACTTGAACGAAGCGAAAATCCTAGTGTGGGGCAACGTTTTTAAAAAAGAAAACAAGAGTATTAGTAGTGTAAACAGCGCTATTGGTGTGGTAGTTGGCCCGCGAGCAGGGCGTGGGCGCGGCCATCGAGTACGCGCGGCGCCAGTTCCCGCTGCACGCGGCGCGACACGAGCGCGCGCTGCAGGCCGCCGTCTGCGCGCTCGCCTGGTGCACGCCCGGCGCCGGGCCCGCGCCGCCCATCTACCAACATCTACTCGACCCTAAGGCACTCGGTAAGTCCTTCATCATCAATGAGAAAGGTGGTCCTTTCCGTTTCATCTCAAATGTCTATTTAAGAGCTTTCATGCCATTATTAAGGTTTATTAACTTTTTTAACTTAAATAAATTTTCATCGAAAATCCACAAAAATGGTTGATTAAAAATGAAATATAGGGAGATGTAATTTTTAAATGTTCATGTAATCATCTAAAGGATAAGAATATTTCGCTGTGGATTAAAAAATAAGTAATGGTAACAGTATCTAACCCAAAACTATTATGTATCCAGGTGCAGAAGCAGCTGAGTTGTTTATAAAAGAAGCTTGTGGTCTCCTCCGCCTGGCGCCACTGTCGCCGCTGGCGGGCGCAGTACTGGCCGGCGCGCGAGTGTTGCCAGCTCTACACGATATACGCTCCAAGATGTCACACCCACACGTCATCGCCGCCTGGTCTGATGATGAACTGCCTTTCGAGGTAAATATTGACATAGCACAGAATATACAGGCGAGCCGTTTGTTCGTTGTCCGGTATCTTATGATAAAAATAACTCCAAGTAACTTTAAGTCACTAACGGGGCGTGTCTTATAGTGCTATAGAAGTGAATGGGATTCAGAGGTTTGTTTATCATGACATTGATATACAAAAACGAAAAACATGAACAAAATGTCACATATCGTCTAAAAAGTTAAACTTATCCTTGTAAAACATATGTCTTACTTTTGACATTATATTTCTATAATAATAATAATACTGTGTCGTTACCCAGGTGGACCTAGGCGAGGATGGTGGCGGCTACCACTCAGTGTTCGCGTGTCCCATCCTGCGCCAACAAGCCTCGGAGCAGAACCCGCCCATGCGTCTCCTCTGTGGACACGTCATCTCCAGGGACGCGCTCAACAAACTCGCCATGGGAGCCAAGTAAGTACAAACATTACATAATTTCACTAATATTATCCCCAAAGCGGTGGATATCTACGATGTAACAACTTTTCAGTTATGTTAAGAGTCCCATGTAATATAGGGGTATTGCCATATATTGGGTAAAGTTCTAGACTCTGTCGTATAATTGAGAATTATTTTCGAAAATTTGACAATAAAGCCCTATCACACTGCTCAGCTCGACTATATTTTTGTTAGGTAACCTTGGCTCAGTAGTCACTAGGTAACCAATCGTTCAACGAGGCAGTCCTGTGATCCCTAATAATATACGTAATCATCATTCACATACTAACTGCATACATACATTCGTAAACTCACACATTTTTGCCATGGGGTAGACAGAAACTACAGAGCGCCACTTCTAATCCTTACATACTTCACTACCTTCTATCACATTCATGCATCTTTTCATACAAACACGTTGGTTAAGGATGCTCTGCACCACACCGCTTTTTCAGAACTTTTTATTTTATATCTTATAATGTAAGTACATATTAATTTAATACAAATGTAATACCAAGTCCAGAACATTATCTTTTCATACCTGAACGATAATAAACTTTTATAAAAATATATTACTTCGGTAATTCATAAAAGTAGTCTTCTACGTCTCCTACTTCTACTTCTACTAAGAGTATAAATTTAAAATTTGGCATACTGTAGTTTGTGTTTCTTGGGGAGCATAGTGAAACACCAAGCTTTTCCTAAAATTTCCATGTAAACAGGAAGATGAAAGAATTTTGAACTGTTAGTTATAAGAACATTGTGGTTATTTTTACATATATACAAAAATTTACTTCTTTCCTCCATGGTGCAGCAACCACATACTAGTCCTATAACGATATTTTATATACATACTTGTTTAGCTTCCATCACATTCATTCATTGAGTCATACAAGCACGCACCTGCCTTTTTTTCCAGAGTGTATCCGTTGAGGTCAGCAAATGTTCTGATACGGTCTGACCGCGGGAACAGACGCCGCGGCGACAACAACCGGTGCGACAGGCGACAGAGACCAATGAGATATTCCCATTTGTCCCCATCGTCCATGTCCCTACTAATCTTGTACTTTATAAAACAATTGCTTTTTAGTCTATTGTATTGTGTAATTTTTTGGCCAATTGCAAAAAATCTAATTAAGTAATACCTACCTAGAGATTCTTATGCATATAGTTCCTTATGAAAAGGCAATTGTTTCAGAAAACACAAAAATCGTGTAAAGTACAGTTGGGCTATTACAAACGTGCGAACTGTCATGTCAAAGGAATATGACAATGTCGCATAACTCGCACAAGTGTGAGCGAGAGATCTGATATAATGACTTATGACAATAGGGTAGATGCCTAATTTTTATTTTAATGTCCGTCTGGTAGATTATTTAAATTATTAGACACGTATTTTTTATTTTCTTAAAGAAACTAATACTTTCGACGGTATATGGATTTGAAATGTCGCGTGACGTCACTTCTATGTACATTTTATACGTAGAAATGACGTTTTAGCCCTCACTCCTAAACTTTGATCCGTTTTATCTAAGTATTGTTTTATTATACGACTAAATAAAAAAAAATACGTGTCTAATATTTTTTAATTACCTAACTTACGGACTAATTACATTTTTAATTTTCATACCCTGTCATCGTCCCAATTCGCACGTTTGTAATGACTCAATTATTGTGGAATCATTCTCATTATTATACAGTAGGGACATGAATGATGGAGACAAATGGGGACCATCTTTGGATGGTTCCCAATTTCAAACAAATGTATAGAAATCGTACTGGTGACAGACGGGGCGACCTGCAGTGACCTGAACGGTCTAATGGCCATAATTAATAGCCGGTCTCAATCCAAAATCAGTGAATAAAAATAGATTTTTGACTTGTATGGAGTTTCTGTTTAATTTATATTTTTTTGAATAAATGTCGATCCAGTGATTTTGGATTACAATCGGTTATTAATTTCGGCGTTTAAAAGAATTTTTGCAAGTAAATGGTTTTTACCGGATATCACTTCTATTGGTTAATACTTACCACACAAAAACAATAAAAAGCTCTCGACAGAATCCTGCACAAACACGAAAGATCTAAGTACATGTAAGGACTCATTTTAGATTCTTCTTCCGTCATACAAATTTTAATTAAAAAAATATCTTCATTTTGTGTAAGATTCTGTCGGGTATCGATTTTTGTTTAATCATTTCTTTTCACGTGTCTTCTTTAATTATCCACTCTATACAATATATACTATAGTAGTATGATGTCACACTATTCGTTCGTACAAATTTAAGATTTTCCATCGCAAATGTTACCTTCATGGATTGAGTTGTCAAAAGTTTTTGAGCCATTTACTATGACTACTATGTAGTCAATTATCCTTATATATATATCTATTGAAAATTATATTAATAAACATAAAAAAATATAATGGTAAAAAATAACTTTTGGCCTGGTGCCTGGCCCATGAATACCATATGGACCAATTTATTAGACCAATAATAAATGTATAATAGTCTGAGTTCCTACAAAAATTGCTTAACAATAAGTCATCATTGACCCAATTTTATTAGTACGTTACGAGGTTTCACTTTTTGCTTCGTCGTTTCTGGACACTGTTACAGTTTGTCAAGTTTTAATGTAATATCATTTAAATCATTCACGACATGAAACCATTGTACATAAATATTAACACATACACGGCTCACAAAGGCGCGATGATTTGCGTTCTGAGGCCTTAGTATGAGTTTGTTTTACGTTTATGTATCGTAACAAGTACACGTTCGGCGCTGTGATTGGTTGCTTCATTGCTGCCGGCCAATCAGAATGCCGAACGCATACTGGTTTCGAATACTTTAAACGTAAATGAAACTCGTACTAAAGCCTCTGTAATATTGTAACGTTTGCCTTAGTCCACGTAGAATTATTTAATACTAGCTCCTGCCATCGGCCTCGCCCGAGTTGCCAGGATAGAAATTACACCATGTATTGTTCCAGAACCTAATCTATCTCTGAACCAAATTTTATATAAATCCATCCAGTCCTTTTTCCGTGAAAGATAACAAACTCACAAAAATTCGCAATTATAATACTAATATTATAATAATACTAATATTATAATTGCAATCCTACTAATAGGAGAATAGATAATGTCCAATTTCAGCCGATTTTCAGCCCACTGTCTGACTTACATTCAATAGACTGGCTGAAACCAATTAGACTAATGTTGATGTTTCTATACATTTGTTTCTGTCACTAGTCGCGTTGAGCATATCTGTAGATGTCACTGCAGCGAATTTCCCGTGGCCAGGCTGTTAAGTCAGCCTATACTGCTAGCTTACCAATACTTTTCAATTATCTTCTCCTATTTCATAATTCTCTCAACATGTCAGAAGGACACGTGCATTATGCAATTTCACACCAATTCTCTTCCCTAATTGTCTCAAGTAATAGTCTATCCTAGGAGGACGAGCCTTTTTAATACACCATGCACGATTCGACTTAGCAAGAATTTTCCGATAAAAACCATCATGAAAAACCCCTTTAAAAAAATATATTTAATTTTAATTCTATCTCTTTTTATTTCCAGATTAAAGTGCCCCTATTGCCCGATGGAGCAGTCGCCGGCTGAAGCCCGGCAGATATACTTCTCGTGAAGTCACAAAGCTGGAACATTACCCACATGGAATCAGTTTCACAGATAGCACAAGAGAATGAACTTACCACAAATTGTGTTTGCACTGAATCAGTAACCGCTCTGTAATTTCAATCTTTTCATACCACTTTACATGTAAGAATGTTAAGCCATCCCAATCTTTAGTACTTAGACATAAAGTTGAGAATCTATCAAAGAATTTGGCGGTTTGAGGTAGCGAAATGCGCTGACGTATTCAATAAAAAAAAAATTAAGTAACTATGTTGCCGAATAATTAATTTGGATATTTTTAACAGTAAAACAATTTTTAAAGGGTGGTTTTTAATACTTTAACTGTAAATTCCTTTTTTCAATAAAAATATTCGAAATTAGCACCAAAAATACTGAATTGCACAATTAGCTCATCAAATAAATCAATTAAACTATCTACCTCTAGTATTTAGTAACTTTTTTTTTCGCCCGGGAGTAATTTGTAACCTAACCTAACCTAACCTATTTTGTAATTGTAATAATTCATAACCTAACCTATTTTGGAAATTCCGTTGTAATATTGAACAATTTGTGTGCAAATCAATATTTTTGTTTTACATTGTAATATGTTTTTGTAATGTGTAGTTAATTTGTAGTGCAGTCATTTTTTTGATATGCAGTAGGTTATTAGTGGAGAAATTTGGTTTGCTTAAATTTCTAAATAGAGGTGCAGTAAAAAATTACCCATTTTTAAATCGTGTCGATGACACTTTTTTTTTAATTTAGAGCGGGAAAAATACCGTTACCGTGATTCGCCTACAAATTATAGGCGAATTAACATAACAGTTAGATTTCGTACCAACATAACTGTACAATATTTTATATGCTCAATGGGATTTCACTCGTGTGGTATAAGCACAGTTTCATATTGATTATATATTTTAATACACGTAAACGATTATGCGTGGAATTATTATACTTTACTAAGCTACCGGGCATTATCTGTGTATAGAAGTTTAATTCACTGCCAACAACAAACAAATAGTATTCAACATGAATAATATTATTATAACTCTCTAAGATGGTTCTACAATGATCTTGTTTATTAAATCAGTGCGCTACCACGAAATCAAAGACTTTAGAATTAGTAGCAGGACTGAGAAAAACATTTTAATAAATACTAATTATTATCTTTAGCTTATAAAATTAGTGGTTTATTAGGCTTATTTTTATATTTGACGGTTGAGAAAATTAGAAAAGAAGTGTTGCTATATGCAAAATAAAAATATGGCAGCAAAAAAATTAGTCAAAAAAAGATTGTCTTTGATTTAAATATTTTTTTAATAGATGACGAATGAATGGTTTTGAATAGCTGAGTTTTGTTGTACCTACCTATTTGTAGTTTGTGCAATACAACATCCGAATTATAACAGTAAAGGAACATTATTTTGGAATAAAAGAAACACATTTCTAAGCACGTAGTTAAAGAGAAAAGCAGTCATTCAGTGCATCAGACTAAAAATTTAATTAAAAGTAATACGTTAATTAAAGGTGGTCTCGAAGGAAATAAATCCTTTATTTATAGCGACGTTATGTCACGATGGAAATAATAATATTGTAATAAATGTTAAATAGGGTAGAAAACATTATAATGTAATTTTAAGTCAGAATATTATTATTGTTTACGTACTGACTGGTTGTTAGAGCCATGCTTTTGTTCTTTTTGTAATAAAATGGATTCAGTATTCAATTATAGTTTTATTTAAAAATATTACCTTTTGCATATAATGAGATTCCCGAATAAGGTACATAGTACTTCTGTGATTCACTATTTTAACAGCACCGTCAGAGCAGTAGCTCATAGCTGCAGCTCAGAGTTTGATTCTCACACTGAACATTGTAGCAGAATTATCCCTTTTCTTTCTTCTAACCTTCTACTTTATTGAGCTCAACACACCTGAGATTCGTCCCACTCAACATTATCCCCTCATGAATAGCCTATAAGTGGCAGTGCTGAGCAAAGACTTCTTCTCGCACGGAGAAGGTTTGAGCATTAATCACCACGCTTGCTCAATGCGGGTTGGCGATTTCAAACTTTTAATTAGAAATTATAAGTCCTGGTTTCCTCACGATGTTTTTCTTCACCGTTCGTTAGTGGTATCTAGATAATCTTAGAAAGTACATATAACTCTGAAAAAGTCACATTGGTACTTGCTGTTGGTAGGTTTGAAACCCGCACCCTCATGCATGAGAGAAGCGGGCGTCTTAAACCACCACATTCCCCTCAGGAAAAACAATGTTATTTTAGTTACGATCCATGGTTGATTGTTAGAAATGGTTACGCTACAACTACCATAGTATACCTACGTAACACAGAAGCTAGACTATATGCTCAGCGTAACTATAACACATTTGAATTAGTACTACCTACATAGGTAAGTTAAACCAGATGTTCGGTCACTCAGATTTGCGATTTATAGTTGCTCCCATAAGTTTTAGAAAGGTTGTTACAGTAGAAATAAATAAAATGGCACATTCTCGGTACATAATTTATTTAATGGATATGTACAAAGACAAAAGATTTTAGGACAAATAAAAATTTGGCAATAACTCTCAACAATAGCAATAATATTAATAAAAGAGTGGTGTCGTTCAAAAGCCGGCAAAATATCAACAACAACAATAATTTAATTTTATACTTAAATATAGTTCGGACATACCAACATAGGGCTAGCTTTTAGCGAGCTATGACGTCACAGCTGAGAGAGCGCATCACACACCTCCATTAAGTAGTAAACATCCAACACGAATGTGACATTACTCGTAATATCACTTCTAACTTCTACACAAGTGGTCCTCTACAGCGGTGACGTCATGAGCTAGTCCGTAAAACGATAATTCCAAACAAATACCACTTAATTCAAATAAAGACATACACTTTGTTTTAAAATTCCGTTTTACAAACAAATAATAACAGCATCACTAATTAACCTAAGAATAAATTAATCGATAAAAAAAATCTTTTTGACCATAGAACATGAGCCGTAACAATTTTAATATCATATTGATATAACTTTTTAAAAGGAATTTTATGATCATTAACAACTTAGTGTGATTTAATATTCTTATCTTTCAAATGGTTCAATTAAAAAAATTTATATATACCATTCTATTATTTCAAAAAAGCTTGTTGGTCTGTGACCCTAACAGGTGAACATATTGCTTGAAAGTTGCTTAAGATCATAAAATTTAATTTAAACACAGCACTTAATAAATAAATCGCGTTTTATCACACATAATTATATACGTAGCATCTACCAGCAAAGTACTACTATTAGATACTAATTATTGCTGTAAAATTTCATCTACATACCACCGAAAGAAAGGCTAGTGTGTATGGTTAGAGAGAAAAGTTGTCACAAATATTCGTTCCACATACACAGCACTTCATGTTCTAAGACAAGTTTTTAAAACAGTCTATGGATGTTCCTTACAGACCTCGAAGCAAGTACAATATCAAATATTGCCCGCCTCTCAGTCGCTTTGACAACGAGAGCGAGGACTTTTCCCTCTAACAGAAGTAATCTAAGAGAAAACAATACGAGTAAGATGGAAGACGCCCCTAAATACAGCAAAAATGTATGTATTTTAATTATTTAGCAATTAAATTAATTACTATAATATCACTTACGACCTAATCTATCTATGCGTTACATAGTATTATCAATATAAATACATTCATATTACTGGTATTTGAATTTGCTTGATACAATATGGTAATAATGTTATCATTTTCATAAACATTTGGCACACATAGACCATTCATTTGCCTACAAAACAATGTGACGAGGAAGTCAACGAATCATAAGGATTGGAAAATATTTCGGAGCATTTCGCCATCGATTTAGAAGCACTTTGTGAGTCAATATTTATACTTAATTTCTGTCATAATTTAATTCACCAAGAATGTACATTACAAATTCACGCATAACACATTTCTTGTATACGTAAAAGTACCGAATCATGTTCCAGAAACATACTTCTTTGTTTTCACTAATACCAAAATTTATTAGCGAATTCGATAATAATTTTAGTGGAAATATCTATTTGGCATATAAAACAAAACAAAAATAAACCGTTACACCGCGTAACGTTACGGTCACAATAAACAAAGCCGTAAAGGTTCGGGGAAACGAAAAAGTATATATATCAATTTCACTAATAAATAATATTGCTTCATCACAAATCAGTCATTGCATCAGTCTAGTACTTCCTACGCGTAAACACGACGAAACACCAATGAAATTGTACTAATCAAGCCATTCAAATAAATATACAGTAGCTTACGAGTTACGATAAAACTTAAAACGTTCCGACACCACAGTTTACTTGTCTTTCTGCTTTATTATACATAGCTTATATATAAATTATGTTTCCTTAGTATATACGTGACGATACATGTTTATAAACTGTGGCGACGGACATAATTGGACAGTTATTATTTTACCAAAAACCCAACTAATATTACGAGACATTTAAACTAAACTGAAGTTTTATCACATTTAACTCTATTTGGTGTATTCTTCCAAGGCTTTGCCGTGAGCGCCAGATTAATACGCATTTTGAAAGGATTGTTTGTATGTCATATTGGGAGTTACACACATTATTTTAGTCTACGTATCACTAGTTATTTTGGTGTTATGTTAAGTAGTATTTAATCGTCAAGTACGCATCCCGGTTGTGACATGTAACAGTGTATGTACAGGTATTTCAATGGTATTCAATCCGGCACTCGTCCTCTCTAACGACACTCCGTACTCCAGTTATAATTCTCTAACGATAGATAGAAGCATTTAGTAGGCACTTGAGAGAAAACGGCCTGTACCAAGTATATACTACTTAACCAATAGTTTATACATTAGCAATTTAGCCACACCAATACAAGATATAATGGATATAGTTTTGGCTATGTAAATAGCAGCACGCATTCGCCATCCATAACTTTATGACATTCTTATTACATTGAAAACTGTTCTAAAATTGTGAACACGTTTCTGCTCTACTGTTGTCATCGATCGAGGGCGGGGATGATTCAGATTGACTTGTATCTAGTTGTATTGCATCGTCTTGTAGGTATTTATTAGAGATTTATTTACGGTAGTGATTCATTAAGTCTCTAGAGAGGAAGCATCTATACAATATATCGAAAATTAATAGTTACACATTACTATAATGAATAAAATTTCTCTATATATCTGAGGCGATTGCCATTACACGCTAAGTCTTAACTGCGAGACAACGGGAACTGTCTACTAGCTAGTAAATATACCGGTAAAATTATTTGAGTACACTTTTCATCTAATCACGCACAGATACAAAGTTTATAAGTCCTTATCAATATGATAAATAAGTTTCGTGTTAACACTGTAGGCGATTGTATGAAGTAGTTCCCATTTATATGAACACAAAATACGGCTTGCTTATGGCTAATGCAAGTATCTGCTATCATGTAAATATATACATGTGCTATCACTTCGAGAGTAACACAATTTTAATATATTAAAATACATTTTGATCGCCCTGTATACAATATTTGTATGTTCAGATCACAAGGTGTGTTATATAGAATTATACATTTTTATATTGCTCACTTATTGGGAATTTGTAAATAAATATACTTACCGGAGACTGTGTCCTGCCTGAACGTGCAGTAACACAATACATAATGACATAACAAACAGTAATTATAACTTAAAACCTATCATGCGCCACACTTCCGCCTTAATTATGCACAATAGCAACTTTTATAAAACGTAAACTCATACATTACTCTGGCAACATTCGGCAAACAATCAAAATTGATCGACGGAAATACGGGAACGCTATATTACTTTAAAATTATATGTATAGAATAATTAATTCTTACAATATATTACGATTGATTGACTATTAGTAAATGGGGAAAACCTAAATGCATATAGGGAGTTACTATTCAACTATTTTCCATTTCTTTTAAATAAAATATTTCATAGTAAATAGTATCAGTAGTATCACATCTATCACTGTTAAGTATCTACTATTATGTAATTGTTATTATTCTAGCGACATGCGACATGGTTCGCAACACCTGTCCTATGATAAATGTGATGCGTTACACTTGGAAAATATATTGAATGAGAACATAGGTACTAACTATACAGCAAGTGAGCCATTTTACCTAAGCACGATATCTATTGAATATAATTTAAACATAGTAAAGACATTTGTGTATCTCATCGAGATTTGCTAATATGAATTGTCTTTATTGGACTAGAGAATGGTAAACTTTCTTGTCTATTTTAATTATCATTTGCGACAACAGAATCAGATACTGTCAAAACGTTTTATTTTTAACAAATGCTTCGTTCTACGAATTAATAATAATATGTCAATAGAAACCACTGAACTTTGTGGGGCTTTGCCCCGAGAAATTACATTTTTCAATTTAATTTTAATACAATATTGATACATTAACTTATTATAATTTTAGAATTATTATCCAACAAATTACGATAGTGCCCTCAAAATAAGCACAGTAAATTGCACAATTAAAGTATTCGATACTCATGAATAATATAAAATAAAAACATAATTAGAAGCGCTGCACTTTGTCGCAAAATAACTTTACCTTCTATATATTGTAAAAAGTTATTACTTGAAATTAAAAAGGGTAAAATTGGTAGCGTGGTTCGTCTAGAACACCCGAAATATTTGAAATGTTACTAACAGTAATGGATATTCAAAGTTCAAAATAGACCGTTATTACAGTAACACGGTCACCGAATTTGCGGTTGCTGTAGTTTCCAGGTAATTTTAGTTAGACAAGCAAAGAATCTTTTGCGCAAAGGAGAAACCAATTTTGCGCATCACATGTTTTTGCGCAACCATTACATTTTCATATACTTATTTTAGTGACTCGTGTCTACTTGATTTACACTATTGAGTACCCATTACTGACACCACAGGCGCAAAGTTTGGATCTGACTATGAGAAGAGCGTGAGAGTACACAAGGGAAGCTGTGATCCGCAGTGGGGTGTAACTGTCAGTGGAGCGTGGATACGAACCGGGGACAGCGGGGCTGCGGAGCTGGTGGCGAAGCTAGCTGGCGAGCTAACTTAGCGGCCGGCTGGGCGAGCTAGCAGGGCGCGAGGTGGCGAGCTAGCTTGTCGCGAGGAGGCGAGCTAGCTAGGTGCGGGCTCGGAGCGCACGCCGGCGAGGTTGAGGAGTGCCTCGGCCGTACGTCTCTCCTCACCGCCGCTGTACGAGTGCTCGTCGCGCGCGCACCGGGAGATCACCAAGTGCGCTGCCGGCGGCAACTGTGTACGAAGGGTACATTTTCAATATCAACTCACTTAATTTTATTATCAAAATAGAAAATTGATAAATAATCCACCACTAAGTTCGATCTTCAGTATGAATTCCATACCGTGAGTTTATTGAAGTGAGTTTGTTGGATGGAATGTCCATCAATGTACGCAAAAGGGCTGATGATGATTGTCAAATATTAAGGTGAATAATTTATCAGAGTTATAACTTATTTACCTGGTCGAGAACAGCGGGTCCGTATTTCATGGCGAGTACAGTGGCGGCCGCGAGGTATTCGTCTGCGCCGGGCTCGGGGTCGGCCAGGCGACGCGCTAGTAGTGACACTCGAGTACCATTCTCTTGTGCTGGCTCGGGGTTCTCTACCACATCGCCGACGGCTGGTATTGGTTGCCTACCAAACGCCTGCGGAGACACTTTCTGATTAGCACTGCTTAGCGGTGTCCGCAAGTCAAGTTATTGTGTGTAAAAGAACTTTATGGTTGATCTACAAGCAATGTAATTGGTACTAAGTTACAATGTTTACAGATAGACCAAGGATTCCGGTTAGACCAGAAACTCGTCATGCATCACCTTTCAGTGATGTCCGACAAGTTTCGGGTTTCAGTGTGAGTATGTAGTAGTAATTTTGGAGAAAATTTCAGTTATCTGTATGAATTAAAATATGAGTAGTGCATGCCAAAATGTACAAGTTAATTATCTACCTACCTGTAATAATGAGGCGCGGTGCTGTGGATCTACCGTCCAAAGCGAACCTTTACCGAGACCAGGAGCAGCTGCCACCTAGAAAACAAAACATACATTTGTTATTATCCTACCATTAATTTATAAACCATATTTATACAAAACGTTAAGCATGAATGTACGTACCTTATGGAAGCACTTATTTAGCGATAGATTATGCCTGACGCTGTTTTTCCAGCCTTGTGGTGCATGTCTGAAGTAGGGGAAGTGACGTACGATCCACGCGTAAATTTCTTTCACTGGTAGGGCTCGCGCGGGAGCCGCTTCGATAGCCATGAAGATGAGACAGGAGAAGGAATAGGGGGGCTTTGTATGCGTGTTAGCTGGAGGTGAGGGGGGCGCCTTGCAAGGGGTCCGAGGCGGTGAAGGGACTCGGGCCACTGGCGGCGGTGTTTTTATCTCTCTCTGTGGACAAATAAACATATAATATTAATATTTTAAATATTGTTTTATGTCCAATCTATTTCTTTTCATTGAAGTTGAAATTCCAAAATCAGTAATATCTGTTGGGACTGCACTCAAAATTATATGTGTGGTAGTAATTTGACAGATAAATTGCAATACATTTACAGAAAATAATTTTAAAGACTCCATAGTCATGTGCAGTACTTACAGACTTATTTTTTATTTCGAAAATGTCGACTCATTCCTATTTATGTATGCGCGTGAATCACAAAGGACTACTTTATGATTATACCTTCCTAGGTTTTGTATGCCATTTGAAACGAATGCAAGTACAGTTAACAGATTCTACCACAAATTTCCACTGTACAAAACAGTAACTACTACAAATCCATTCCTGGTCGTTGAGAGGACATTTCATCGGTATTTAGTGGTATTGGCGATTCTCACTTGAGCATTTTATACATAGATGTTTAGTATATAGGGTGCTTTGAGGGAAGCGATACAGTGCACTTTGGCGCCATTCCAAGAAAGTAGTCAAAGTGCAATCTGCACTTGAGACATAAAACTAAGATTTTTCTTCTATAAAAACGTAGATACAAAGGTGTAACTGCAGATCAACCTATGTTTAATCGATTTTAGACCTTATTACAGAATGATAAAGGTGAAAATATATTTTCTACTTTCGAGTGTTTGTTAGGTGGGTCGGTATCTATATAATATACTATGCTTAGTACATAATTCGGTTCTGTTAACAGTTTGTTTGTAGTATACATAATACAGATATCGTTTATGATATACAAACATGTTTATCAGCGATAAGTTTAGATATACTAAAGAGTATGATGTAAATCTACCACAATCGATAATTACGAATCATCTTTACTACGCCTTTTTTGGAAACATATATATAAAACACTTCTATTGTTACCCAGATTTCTTATTGAGTACTCAGTATTTAATAAATTATCGATTTTTCAATTAACAGATAATTGTTAAATGTTAAATCATACATTTTAGTACTTTTAATTAACAGGAAAACAGTTACTTTATAAAGCCTTTTTTAAAGGGGGAAAATCATCGATTGACTTCACCCGCTAGAGTGAGGGAGTGTCAAAACTCTTACTGAATAAAAACCACCCCGTTCCTGCTCCTGCACTTCGAGCCGGAGCCCCGGTAACCGTTCACGTTCTTCGCGGCTACTTTATAAAGCTTTACGAACTAGTTTACACAAAATACACTTTAGGTAATACTGTGACCCATAAACACTGCCTAGGCCATAGTATAGAAGAATTGTTAAATATTCAAAATTAATCCTGTGATAAAATTTATCTGGCGCTGAGAAAATCGACCCTAAGTCAGTACATTAATTTCAGGTAATATAATATAAAAATAGTTCAACTCTAATCTTCATCAATCACGTTTAAGTTAAGAATATCTATTACTTCCTTCGTGCAAGCGTTTATTCATTGATCCATTGCATGCTGACTCATTGGTATAACCGATTTGTAGTAGGAATACATAATTGCTTAGCGTCCTTATGAGTGCGAATACAAGTGCTGTCATCGACATACAGCTCGAAGGATAATTTCAAGAATGAATGATTTATTAACTATTTGATGTAAATCTCAAATAGGTCATCTTTGTGTATTTTTTTCATAGTCAGTTTTTCCGTCATTTATTTTTTTATGGCATAAGCCGGTAAACGAGCCGACGGATCACCTGATGGTAAGCAATCGGCGTCGCCAATGGAACACCAGAGGCATTACAAGTGCGTCACCGGCCTTTTGGGGATTAGGAGTTTGAGGATTCAGGGATTGGGGTGATTGGGTAAGGGGAGGGGTAATTGGGCCTCCGGTAACCTCACTCACACGACGAAACAACGCAAGCGTTGCTTCACATCGCTTTTCTGTGAGACCGCCGGTCGAGCCGGCCCATTCGTGCAGAAGCATAGCTCTTACACACTTACAAAATGGAACTGGGCTTACGCTCTTACAAAATGGAAAACCCAGGATTCTAAGCATCGGCTTTGAATCCTGGGTTTTCCATTTTGTGTACGAACGGGTACGGTTACCCGTACACTGATTCTACTATCGTCGATATTTATCGCGCACTGTCTTTGTGCTTTTATTTATTGACTAGCTTCCGTCAGTGGTTCCGCCTGCGTTCCTCTGTAATAACAAGTAGTAGCCTATATGTTATTCCAGACCATAATCAATCACCCAATGTAAACTATGTTTATTTTTATTGTGCTATGTGTTGTACTAAGTACCTGTTCCAAATTTCATCCCGATCCCTTCTCGCTCCGATGACATGATTGAGTTTTTTTTTTAAGGGGGGATAATCATCGAATGACTGCTCTCGCCTGGGTGAGTTGAGAGGGAGTGTCAGACTCTTACTGACTAAAAACCACCCCGTTCCTTCTCCTGCACGTCGAGCCGGAGCCCCGGTTACCCGTTAGGTTCTCCGCGACTCCGAATCGGCATCGGCCCATTGGGCCCCATCTGTGGTGGTCTGATGGCTCTTTGAAGCACGCGCGGAACGCGACGCGCCGTACGCTCGGGTCTGTTTCTGGTCGGACGGGGAGCCACCCATGCTCGCCGTCCGCAGGCCCGCGCGACATGATTGAGTAATAAACACACACTAATTATTAGTATAATACTAATATTCAAGTTAGGTCCTTCTATTATTATCTATACTCAATTTTTCTAAATATTTGACAGCTAAATTAATTGAAAAACATAGTTAGCTGTAAACAAAACAAAGTCCTACTAGTTCCAAGTAACATCGGGACTTATTGCTCACACATTCACTATTGAGGAAAAGTTCTACTAGTTACCAATAAGACTAATTTTGTAAATCCTTTTATTTGATGTAATCCACGTTGTTATTTATTAAAACTCGACAGTACTGAGATCAACAGTACCACAATACATATTCGTTAGTTACCACGTGTGTTTACAATCGCATTGTTTTATTTACCCAAGTGCAGGTTGAAGCGAGCCGCGATTGTACGGAGGAAGCGCTCGTTTGTAGTCGACCAGTCGACCTACATTTTTCATATCTCGCTAGTAGCTGTTCTGTTATGAAATTAAGTAATTTACTGGCTGTCCTTCCGAACTCTCGACGGGTCTCCGTGATTACGGTTAAGTATAGTCTCTCTTAAGATGTAACTCGGTATTGTTATTTTGAAAGCTTTTTTTTTAATACAATGAAAATTTTATGTCGTGAGCTAATTCAAGGTTGTTAGTATTCAATTAAGTACTCATTATTTATCTTGATTTTAAGTAAAAATCCTCTCTTAAATAAAGAGGTTTGGTATAAGCCTAATGCTGAGCCTTCTCTGTGTGAGAAGAGGTTTTTGGTCAGCAGTGGCCACATAAAGGCTGTTGATGATGATGTAACGCTGAGCGGGGTTTGGAATGCATTTACGTCAATACGAGTTCATTTTTAGGACATCCCAGATTCCCAGGTCTAATAGTTAACAAAATGAAATGTTTACAGTAAAATATTACTTACTTGTACATAAATAAAGGCTACATTGGCGTTCAGTTGCATTTACAGGAATATAGGTCATGGCCTATTTAAATGTTAAAGTTCATTTCATTACGTATTGAATAGTTTGTTTGCGAGAAAAATATATAAACATTTTACTCTCAATGCTTCGATCCTTTCATAGTCACTAGAAACAGATGAGTTCCTAGATTTCAAACTAATTAATGTAGTGCTCTGCTTTCAGTACTTAGGTACTACAAACTTATAAAGAGATATATGCGACTAGATTTTCTAGTACCTTACCCCATAAAGGGCGTATGTTTACTTGGAATTTCAATGAAAACACCATACGCATACAGACAAACAGATTTGAATAAGAATACGAAGATTAGAATGTGAATATATCATGAGAAACTTCATTAGAGCATCCTGCTACGACTACAAATTACTTATTTCATAATAGAGTTAGATTGTAGATGATTTATCTTTACACTGAGTGACACTAAGTATTACCTTAACGGTCGGTTTTTCAAACATTAGTTAATTGTTAACTGTGGAAGAAAATTTTACAGTTTTTAATACGAAAGAATTGTCAAATATTCAAAGTTATTCCTCAGTTAAACATTATCTGGCTAAAGGTTAGTAGTAAAATTTAATGATACGTTATTTTATATAAATATATGCCTCCAGTTTTAGTTCCTATGTGCAATTAAAAGCCCATTTAGAAATTGGAAACATTCCTATTCTCTTTAAAACAGCCGATGAGATTAACGTTGAAATCCTGCAAGGTTTAAAGGATCCTTTTCAGAAGGTAAGTAGGTTAGCAATGTGAACACGGTAAGCGATAGTAGCTTATCTAAAGTTGCGCACTATCGCAATCTTTGCGCATTATGTTACACGTGGCGCTTACGTTTAAACCTCACTACTACGCGTCTCTGACGTTTAGGTACTACAGATAAAAAAAAACTGTATATAAAACTGCTTGGATGAATTTTTATAACCTCTGTAGTGCCTTCATTGAGTAGGTGCGATGTTTACTTAGGTAATAATGTTCTTACTTCGAAGTTCTCGGTTGATAGAGACTGGTTACGGTTATTCCTGTGCCAGACAAGCTTTGTAGGGTTCATTGATATTAGGGTTTTTTGAAAAATAGTACCCAAGTTACGCTCCTTTCTAGGCCACATGTGCGTGTAAGGTATATAAAATATTAAAGAACTATTTCCAGCTTTTATTTTATCTAAAACCAAATCAAAATTTTCCAAATACAGAGCAATACGTATACATAGACTCTAGGTATACGCTCTTTATGTGTCTAGGTTCTAAGTACTTGAATGCACTTCGAACTGAACTAACAAAGCTTTACAAGTACAAGTACTTAATCAAAATTTTAAAACTTTCCTCTATCCACTTGATAATATGAAACTTGAAATTAGCTTTCCTTCTTGAGAACTTCTGAACAATTTCCTTGCAAGTTGCAACTATGCCTTTGCTACTGAACCGTGGAAGATCCTATAGAGCAGTACTTAGAACTTGCCTTGAACGGCGGTACGTAAGTATTACTAATACTAAGCAGCGTAAGGTGTCATTAATAGTTATGATATCACGTTATCCGACACAAAAGACTACACTTTTTTTATGGGGGGAAAATCATCGAATGACTGCTCCCGCCTGGGTGAGGCCGGAGGGAGTGTCAGACTCTGACTAAAAACCACCCCGTTCCTTCTCCTGCACGTCGAGCCGGAGCCCCGGTTACCCGTTAGGTTCTCCGCGTCACAAAAGACTACACTACGTTAGTAATATTACGGCTTAAATTCGCATAGTTAAGCAGAGGTGCACAATTTAATCGTACTTTACAAAGATTTCCAACATATTTTCAGACTATGCTAAAAAAAACATTGATAATATTTTATGTTATGTTGACCGATTCGTGAACCTGAAAGCGAGCTTTGTTCAGCAAAAGAGGTAGTCGTTAATGAGTATTTACATATTTATTTATAGCATTATTATAATGCATAAAGATGGACTTAAACTGTCAAACACCAAGCGGTTACCGGTGACCGCAACCTATTGTTCTATAATTGTGTCTATATTGACGGTACTCGACGAGTTAATGCTGACAGCATTAAACCTTTGAGTAGTGCAGAGATGTACGTTGTAGTACAAAATCACCTTAAAACAGTTAGGATACTAAAGGTTAATTGATACATAATAATATGCTAATTACAAACATGAAAGCATGCTTCAATTGAATAGGGTAAATGCCAAATTTTTATTTTAATGTCCATCTGATAGATTATTTTAAATCATTAGACACGTATTTTTATTTTCTTACAGAAACGAATACTTTCGACGATATATTGATTTGAAATGTCGCGTGACGTCACTTCTATGTACATTTTAGACGTAGAAATGACGTTTTAGCCGCAACTCCTATACTTTGATTCGTTTTATCTAGGTATTGTTTTATTGTACGACAAAATAAAAAAATACGTGACTAATATTTTTTAATTACCTAACTTACGGACTAATTAGATCTATAATTTTCATACCCTGTCATCATCCCAATAGCACTTGTCACTTAGTAGCATGTGTGTCAGAATGTTGCTCAAAATTAGAATGCTTATTTCGGGCATGCTGGCGAATCGACAGGCATTTGATTTTTGAAAGCCTTTTAATTAGCCTTTTTGAGAATGGGTAACGGTACCTTAAAGATCATGTACCTAGTGTATCTATGCATAATCTGAGTATGTACTGTGCACATACAAAAATAGTAATTACAAATTATAATTAACACACTTCAAATAAGACAGATACCAACAAAAGTGAAAAACTATAAATATTGCGGTTTATTATAAACTTATCTATTGTACAATCTAATAATCCTTTCCATATTATTATCGTAATGCTTATATAATTTCGGTTCTATCAGAAATAATCGATTATCAAAGACTTAATTAAAAGTAAATAATATTAATTGCAACGCTGCAATGTAAGCTATTAATTAGTCTGTGTTATTGGGGATCAATCGCCGAAGTACTGAGAGGGTATTCAGGTTTTAAGTTGTACTTAAATATCGTGCCATCTCTGTCGTTTTACAAAGAATTTGTAGTGACAGAACTATACGTAAGCACTACTTAAAATTTAGTAGTGTTTGAGTATTTGGTCGTAAATCCAACAGATGACGGATACGCACTGATACTGTACTGATGTAACGTAAAATATTATTTAAGAACTCTATAAATACAAGGATTATTCCTTCGAGGACCCCCCAATGATAAAAAAAATAAGTTTTCTCAGTATATTCACGTGTGTAACCCGCGATTTTAGTTAATTCAGAGGATGTCTCAAAAACAGTTAACACTTTTGACTGTAAGTGTACTTGGCTTGCATTTGAGGTCATAATAGTATGACAAAACAGTAAAATATAGGTTTCATTTGTGTCATACGAGATTATATGCTATTACCCATAGCCGTCATTTAAACATGGGTGGAGCGGTCTTGCTGACAAACCTTGAACGTATTTACTGTATTTTTACTTTTGTAACAACCATGGGATTGCAACATCGACCTGCATAATGGAAATAACGGATTTGTCATTCAATTTTGCGCTTTCTACGGCAAAAATCGTTTCGTACTATTTTTATTCAGCCAGTTTGATGAATTATTGTAGACTTTTTTCTTTTGAGGTTTAAGAAATACAAGATAATGTTTTACCACTGGACTAAAAGCCCTTTAGAGGTAATACGACGCATATCATCATGACCAAATTAAGACCTCAACGTGTAATTAACAAGTCATTTACTTGGACAATTCATCATAATTCAACAGTGTGTGGGCATAGACTCAGACATTGCTCTTTAACGACCGGAAAGCTACCACAGATTATCTATTTAAAAAGCTGGAAATAAGACATAGACTGCATCAATTTTTTGCTTTTTCTCATCTATGAAAATTGTGTAACACATTTATTGCGTAGAAAAATTTAACCTCAAAATATTTGTGACTTCGTGTACATCACATTATCGTCTTTTCAAGTCCTACGCAATATTAGATTTACAACGACTCATAACTGTTTATATAATAACTCATAAACTCGGCATTACGCGTTGGAGTTGCTTAATAAGAGTTCCGTATACCTAATTTCAATTGAAACTAATTTCAAGCTGAAGATATTATAGAAATAGTGGACTATTTGCAATGTTAATTATAAATACACCTATCACAATAGACAAATCACCTTAGAATAAAAAATGAATATAAAAAATATGCTATGATCTGTGTCAAGTAAAGCATCCTTTTTACCTTATCTCAGTAAATTTACCAACCTGTTTCTGAACTACCATGCTTAAACTGTGTTGTAATATTGTTCAGCAATATCCATACAAGTTGACATTATCTACTGATATCATCTAAAGAACTTTATACAACAAGCCGAGAATTTTAGTTTAATTTTCATTCAATTTTAAACACAAGCACAAATCGACAAAAGCGCCCTCTACGAAGTTTTTACAACGATTTCTTTTAACGTTTCCACGTGTTCGCATTTACATAACAGTATTTGCTCTTAGTAACAATAAATAGGCATTTTAAAACAATTTATCTGCCAAATAAATTTAAGTTTAAAGAAATAAGAAACAAGAATACATTTACAAACTCACCTTCACAATAATTTGGTTATCGACCATTTTCGTGTCCTCTATATCGACTCCGTTTTTTGTAAGATTGATTCCTGGAACAAAACAAGTTTTTGTTCAGTTCAACGTAATTTAAGTACCTACGTCTTCACAATAACCTTTACTATTTTAAATGAATACGTAAAAAAAGTCTTTTGTAATGTTCTGTGATAACAGAATTCTATTTTGCGACGGTTCTTCGCGTTTCTAGGTATAAACGTTTTCAAAGTCGCAGAACTAATGTCTTCATTTTCATATTATAATTCTATTCTACAATATTACATTAAGCAGTAAATGCAATTTGCAATTGGAGCGTTAAGTTGCATAGTTATAAAACTGCTAGCGCATTGGAATAAAACAATGTTGAACTTTCACGAGGATGAAATTACTCGTGCTACTTCTAACATCGATGTAAAATAGTTAGTTGTAGCAAAATTCATGAACGCTGATCCAATTTATAAAACATCCTTCATTGCCTTCCTAGCTTAGCAATAAAGTAGGTATGCCAATGTCGCAATACCTAATATAGACATTTTCAGTAAACACTAGTATCAGACGTAGACGCTATGTAAGTAGTATATGATATAGTTATAAAGATACAGAGCGTCATATTACGTCACGTCTCCGCCCAGCACCTGCGTCATAAGCTTTCGAAGACGCACATCAAGCTACCCCAAAACCGTGCAATTTCTTTAATGGATTCTTAACCTTACATCTTTGCTATTAAGTTGAGATTCTTTTACAAGGATTTGGATATCATTTTTCAATGAAATGAAGCCGTGTTGTGAAGCTACCTCTAAGTAAATTCCTGTCTTGCAGCCAGCTCAAACTGGTGAGGTCGTCGTCGTGGTCAGCGGGCGGCAGGTTGCCGGCGTTGCCTCCGCAAGCCACCCTGATGAAGGAGAACATAATCGTAGAGTCGTAACCTTGAAGTTGAGGGGATTAGGGAATAGTCGAATACGCAATACTGTCTGTAGACATTTAGTCTTCATACTCATCCACATTTTTGAATAAAATTACTATGTTTCCTAATTAATTTTACTGTAATTTGTTATTATTTGTGCCTAAAGGGTAAGATCCCAAAGTGTATCGTCTATATAGCATTCAGTATCTGAAATATTAATATAAGAAGAAGAGTATTATAAGAAGCTTTTACTAGATAACTAAAAATAAGTTATAGTTATTAAATAAAGGTTAAAAGTCAAGTCGACGTCCATTCCGATTTGGACATTCCATTACAGCAGTGCATTTATATGTCTGTCTAGAAATGTTCCCAAAATATCTGAACCTCAAGTCTAGATCGATTTCCAAATATATCTGTGTCTAGGTTATTCCGGTGTGCACTGAAAGTGTTACGAATGTTACGTTTCATTTAAATGCTTCTATCAAGTTTATATCATGTTTTTGATATTTTTTGATGGCGTCAATTAGCACATTTTCAAAGTAAATTAGTCCTTAAATACAATTACACAAGGTCTTTCCGGTGCACCATGTACCCTTCCTATTCCCATAGCTGTGGTATGGATATGAGTAAGGTAAGGACAATTATATTTTATTTCAAAAGGGGGAGGTTAGTAAGTGGATAATTCGTTGTGGTAATACAGCCGTCATTGTGTTATCTTATAACTTTAGTAATTACCACTTGAATAAATAAAAAATTATTATGTGTGTGAATGGTTCGCTTGTTAACGTTAAAGCCGAGTGCAGTTGTAGCAATCCGATGGTATAATCAGTCCTTTATCAATCTCGGCAACAATTCCCTTTTTATCTTTAGCGCTTGTCTTACCTACTAACCTAGCGAAAAGATAACAACATAATGTCAACATTTTTTATCTGGATTTTTCACACTGACTTTTGTGTGATTGATGACCAGAACGTTTTGATACTAGATAGTAATAACAATCTATTCAGAATTTTGGCATGATTTGAAGGATTTTTTAGTTGTTTTAACATGCTTTTTTAGTTAAGAGATGGCTGTTACTGTAGTTTATCATCTTCGCAGAAAAAAGTACATTGCAGTAATTTATTGATACTTTTTTTTTTTAATCTCTTTATTTTTAATATTTTAGGGGGTTTTTGTCCATATGGATACGTCAACCCCATCGTACCTTATCTAATTAAATATACTCTGTAAATGAAAGGGAATCATTAACAAGGTATGAGATAAATAAAAGAAAAGCTATGTCACTCTCACCAATTCTTATTAATACTTGTATGATAGAAAAGTAAAAGCCCACTTTACTACTACAAGTCACTTACGTTTTTTCGTTTATTTATCGTTGATGATTAATTTACATTTCATGGCAAATGACAAATGGACAACTGTCCGGTTAAACATCAAAGCAAATAGAAAATCTCGTATTACAGGGCAACGGAAGTATGAAAAAATAAAACATTGGACATTAAAGAAATCTGAATTGGGTCACAACAACATATTATTATTGTTTGATTGAAAATGAAGTGTTCGTCAAAATTTGTTAGTGTATTATTACATCATATGTGTGATTCCGACGTGATGACTCGGTCACGTGTCACATACATTAACCTTTACGAAATAAATTATTCATGGCAGGAACTTTGTTTATTTTGTCCTGCCGCGTCTCATTATTTTATTATCAAAAGCTTGATATGTGTGGCATTTAACGCACATTTAATGAAGAAATAATGTTATTACTATTGAAAACTTTTAAAATCTAATTTATATGTTACAAAAGTTCGAATTAGTCACAGAAAAGTTACAATTTCTTTGAATGTCATGATTAATAAATAAGTTGTTTACCAACAGCAGTGTGTTATTCATTTTAATTGGATGGGGAAGTACCAAATCGGTTGGCAGACGCCATGTCCCTTGTGTGACACAAGCTTCCTTTATGCAAATACTGTCATCCGTTCAAGAAGGCTAGTCCGTGGACAAACGTGCAATATTATATTAATATTTCATTAAAGAGGAAGCACAATTCTTTATGTAAACTAGAATATTAAAGTCACTTTGAAAATTCTCCTTCGCTTCGTTACTAAGTCACCTTTTCCAAGATAAGTAATCTGAAGGCCTTTTAACTATAGACGTTAGCATAGATCTGTCACAACTGAACATTTATTGATTACTCGACTTTATCAATAAATGGCTGGACAGGCGAGGCGCCGTGTCTATTTCCTTGTATATCGTATATGAGGTCAATAGACATTCAATATGCCGTTTGATCTAGGTAGTGCGTTGAAAATATTATCGTAAATTTATTAATGAAATGCGTTCTCTGTAAAAGTTGAGTTTTTAATGTGAATAGTGGAGAAAGGTACTGGATCATTTTGTAGTCGACTATTTCAGATTTATGTAGTTAATTACTTTGGAGTTTTCATCTCTAGTACTGGCAAAAAGGCTATTCAGTACTTATTCTATTTATAATCTCATTCAGTAGTATACCTGTTATCTAGACAGCTTATCAAAACATAAACTACTATAGCTTTTTGTTAAAGCGTACGTAGGTAGATGATGATAAACTTGTTACATAACAACAAGGACGTTGAAAAAATACAATAAAAATAAATAGGTGCTACAAAACCAATAACTATTTCAACAATTTCACATTAAAAAATTATAATATTCTTATTAGAATGTCATGAAACTTACGCAGGTTGTGGTTGTTCCATATCAGATTCGTCGGATGCATCCTCAATGTCATCGAAATTGTCAATGACCCTGCCCGACACTTCTAGGCGTCGTAACGAACGGCCACTGGAGGCTACATGCCGCGCGATCTGGCGAATCAAACGGCGCGGAAGCGGTAGAGATGCGCGTGCACCTCGTGCTGGAGAACCGCCCCGCTCGCCGCGCATTGGCGCCATCTAGTAAAATAAATTTAATTTTTACTATATTTACTTAACAAATACAATATCAAGACTTTTGTGTGTCGAAACATACCACAAAAACAATCGGAAATTTTTGAGGTTTGTGTGTTCCCGCAGGATATTGCTACTTATAGAAAAACAACCAGAAGATGTAGGTCGATTTTGTAACTCAGCTTACAATTGCTATTAAGCATCAATATTGATTTCAATTATTATTGTTGGAAATACAACGCTGAAAAGCTGTTTAAAATAGCCATCCGGCGATACCATTGTTAAAGTAAAATATTCTGTTGCTGTTAAATTTTCATGAAACGCAACAACGTAACGAGGTCTTTTAAAATACCAAGAAATCATGTGACGGACGCAGGTACCAAACTAGTATTGCGTAAAGGGCATCCGCGTTTACACCTCGTTAACGATCAACACTGATCTGTAGATGCCGTAAAAGTTACGTTGTTAAGTGCAAATTGTGTTGGTGTTAAATACTAGGATTTACATTGCTCGGTAACCGCATTAGACTGCCTCAATGTATGAACTTAAATCTTATTGTTAGCGTCGGAACAACACGATAAGTAATCACAAATGCTCCAAATAGAAAGTAGCAATGTGTAATCGCCTAATTTTTATTGAAACATGACGATGATTTCTTTCTTTTATATAATTTTTCAAGAAAACACGTGGAAGAACTAGCACAGTAGGCGAGCTCACGCAAACAAACTACGTTCAAGGAAAATTCTAAGTAAAGTGACATAATATAGGAGTTCCGAGCATGTTTACGTGCACGCTGAGTACCTCACAGCGACGCAGGTTTTAGCGGAGCAACGCTACATTCCTTATTCAGACTATCTTTATTTCTGTTTGGAATTTTAACGCAGACTTTCAAACATACTCGGAATTAGCGTAAACCACGACCTGCGCTACTTTGTAAAGTGTTATTATCACATAGCTTTGTCATTCGTTTTGGTTTCTTATTCGATTGGAGCATTTAATGCGAGTTCATTGGATAGCAAGGCGTTGAACCGATGTTCGGCGACACCAGAAATAAATATTTAGCTGAACCGTAAACATTAATAGCGTATTGTGTAACACAACGAGTTTGACGTAATAAGAATGCAGAATTCCTTCTGAATACGAAAAAGAAAATACAATTATTTTTATCTCTAATTTATCGCGTCAAGTAGCCACACAATCACATAATATCGAGTGACCTTGGCATAGTAACAAACAGCTAAATGTAATCGCGTGGTTGCGTCGTGTCGTGGCGTCCCGGTGTCATCGGCGAATTGAACTGAGTCGCGGACTGACACACAAGAGTGATTATCTAACGAGAGATTTATTTACAATGCCCTATTGCGGACAAGGCACAACAGTAGCCTAGCCGATAATCACGCAAAACCAATCCGCCAATGACACTAAATTATAAGTTCTCGCAAATAGCGTTTGAAGAAGAGCTTAGAAACGTTATCTTTATGTGCAACAAGGATGTCAACAATCTTGTTGATGAGAATTAATCCGGCACGTGGACGACGCTTCTATTCATCACAGTTTGAATAAATTAAACAGGAAAGTATTCGTTTTGTAATGATACGGGAAAAGTAAACACTTATAATGTTTCAGAAAAACCAATTTTGCAATAACACAACTGAATAGCGTTCAGCAGGAAAAAAACAAAGGTACGACTGCGATTTAAATATAGATAATTAACAAATAGGTCAGTCAAGCTAAGACACGAAAATAAATTGACAAGTATCAAGATCTATTAGCAGTGTATAATTTATTTTTACGTTTAGTTTTCACTATGGGGCAACATCAAGAAAGTTAGAATATTCTAGAATAATTTGTTATTTAGCACACTTATTGATTTTTGATACTAAGTAGTTTTTACTTTTATAATAATTTAATCATTCAGTTCATTAACCAATCTTGCTGTAAAGTATTGTAAACAAACAAGTACCTCTATCTCACAAGGCACTTCACATAGTGTGAGCCCATCCAATCAGGAAATAATGACATCATTACTCAATGTTGTTATTTGTTTTGAGTCTGATATCATGAAGAATGTGTCTTAGTAAAAGTACCTACATTGCAAAAATAAAGGCTGAAATATGCACTGGAATTGTTATTGTTTTATTGAAGAAAATAATGTTTGTTTAGTTAAATAATTTATGTAGACCATTCTTGCCCATTTTAATTCTTATTATACAAAAAATATATCATTTTTTGAAAACAAACCGTTGTACTTAATAATTTAGTTGTACATTTTCCCAAAAGATATATCATTTTTGCTGGTTTAGAAAATGGCTGGTTGTGTTGTATTGATTGTGTAAAATTTAGATAACAGTAGTGTCTCCAAGGTATGATATCTTAACTTGCCGCACATAATACTTTATCATTTGGGTAAAGATTATGTAGCCTTGAAACAGCTTACAATATTTAAATTGTATACAATTTATAACAGTTTGGCATCACATTCCACACATGTGTGATTTGAGTAATGTTCAGTCTTTTATTTTTCTATTAGTTTAAAGGTCTTTGCCCTTTCTAGTCCAATTAGACATGTGCTTTTCTTATTATTTTTGGACAGGTGGATATTTCTACATATTTGTTGTTAGCCACATATTCTCCAAATATGTTGAGACACTCTTTAAGAGTAAATTGGGATAGCTAAAAATGTAGCTACATACTTAAATAAAACTAGAACACTGGCTCTGGGTGACACTTAAAATTAGAAATCCTACAGGAAGTGAGAACTGAAATCTAGGTCATGCAAAGGTCTACAATCTATTTATAGCCTGTAACAGCAGGTTCTAGATATTATGCACCACTAGGTTTGTTGCCAGTTATACTGATTGAAAACAATAGTAAATCATACACCAAGGTCATAACTATATTTAAAAAATTAAATGGCGAAATTCTAATAAGATACTTACATGAAAATTTCAAAAGTTACAGCAGTCAAACTAGCACCCCTACAATTAGCATCGAATTTATGTTATGGCTAATAGACACCCTAGCAACGTAAGCAGCGAAATTATGGTCGCGATGCAATTGAGGTGTGATGTAACAGCTAGTTACCATGTGTTATTGTATTCATTGGGTCAGCAGTGGCATCAACAACGTGTTGCTAGGAAACTGGTGTCCGGCCAGCGCGGCGACCGCGTGCGCGATTGCGTCGTGCCCGTGCGTCCTACGTCGTGCTTCCGACGTGGAACCGCCGCGTGCAGCTTGGTATGCACGTGCCGACGCGAACCTCCAAGGGTTCTTACATAATCGCAGGGACTGCCACAGACACGAAGCCGAGGACAACACAAACGTTGACTAACACCCGTTCCATATTTAGAAGGAGCGCCACCAACCAATGCGTCCCGACGTTATTCATGCGTCTAGTCACATTTTTAGAACCGCATGTAAACGATACTTTTATCCCCCACGCTGCAAACCTCATGTGCGCATCACTGTACCCTAATATTGCGTTATTCAGGGTACAAAATCCAAAATGCGTAATAAATTACAGCTTAAAAACAGATGTATTCATCACAGCAAACTTAGTGATAGCTTGATTTTGAGATGAAAATTGTAAAAAATGATCGATTTCAGTACTATACACTCACCTTGATGTTGTATTGTTTGTTAGACGCACTAATTATAAATTAATAACAATAAATAAACAGCATTCCGCGACCTCCGTACTTGTGATCAACACTCAACAAACACCTTCCTCAACACCCAATCAAACCATAGATTAAAGAACAACCTACATAAATAAACATATGATTTGTTTAGCTCTATGGTTTGTTTTCCGTTTCCGAAAATGATAGAGTGGAGTTTCCGGGAAAGTTACTAAGTTCATTTAGGCGATTAATTTGTACGAACAAATCGATTTGATATTACTGAAAAATGTTGTTCCAGGGTTGGATTATAACGTGATTGTAACTTAATGCAATTGTAAGTCAAAATTTTCTTACATTAACCGTTCCAGTTTCAATACCTAAATAAAGAAAATAAGAATAAAAAAAATATTCATCACGAAAAACTTTCTGTAACGTGGCTAAACCACCTGGCAACAATGACATTAACCAAAAAAAAGGAAACACGTTAAACTTGACGTGGACTAAAGTAGCTGGCTCACTGTAGTGAAGTTAAATTTATAAGATTTTAATTATTCCACACTGTTATAAGCGTAGTGATACTTTAAAATAAATATTCTAGATGTTAGCTTGTTGAAAGAAAATGATTTTAAACATAGTAAGTGCATACTTTCTCATAAATCGCTTGTTTGGCGCATCAACCTATTTTCCGGAATCGTGTATGTGTTTTTGGTAGTTTCGAGATAAATCTTATTGTTTCTCTCTTACTTTACAGAAAATGTTTGGGGTGTTGAGTGTGTTTCTGATACCATTACTTTTAAGTCAAGAAACGGAAGCCGCGGCTGTAATATCCATTGATTTGGGTTCAGAATGGATGAAGGTCGGTATTGTGTCTCCTGGAGTTCCGATGGAGATTGTGTTAAATAAGGAGTCAAAGAGGAAGACACCAGCTGTTGTGGCATTTAGGGATGATGTGAGGACTTTTGGTGAAGACGCCGTCACTGTCGGCGTGAGATTCCCGAAGAATTCTTATAAGTATCTGCTGGATCTACTTGGAAAGCCTTTTGACCATCCAATGGTGCAAGCTTACAGGTCAGTGACATGTGTGCACTCTACATTTCAAAGAAAATAACTGTCTTTTTGTAACTGAATCTCTGAAGTAACATTGAACAGTGCATGTTACTTGATCATGCCTTTCTTTGTCACTTTCTAATTTGATAATAAATTTACTAATAATTTTGTATGTCTACAGTTATCTATCTTTTATTTTACCATGATACTCCTGTATGTGGGAATACTATAGTTGATAATGTTAATTAATGTCATTGCATCATTTATTTTATTGATATTTAATTTGATAATAGGTATATGTATATGGTACATACTAATAAGAATTGAAAAAAGAAACAATTAACTTAATATCTAATATTCAATAATATTCTTTTCTTTTATGAATAAAATTTTCACTGTTTTCAGTATTGTTCTGGTCCATATTGTAATCAATAATTATGGTTATCTTTTAATTGTGGTGATATCAACATTAATCTTTTCAATTACTTTTCATGTTCTATGGTATGTGAAAATTTACACCATAATGTTAATTAAATGGTGACTTTTTCTTTACTATTTCTTTCTTCCTATATTAGTTCATGTGAAATATCAGTCCACAGTTAGCAATATTCTAATCTAAAGGTACTGTTACAAAAATAGCATGTTAAAAGGTGTTCTATTCAAAAGGCTCAAAATTTAAAAAAAATATTGCCTGTGTTGCAAATATGCTTGAAATGACTGCTAATTGTGAGCATAATTCAGACTCACATGTTACTAAGTGACATCCTCAATTGAAGCATGTTTTCGTGCTTGAAATTAACATTGTGTAAACTGTAACAGTATACATCATTTGTGACATAAACAACTTTTGATTACAAACTGTATATTTGTTGTTATAAGCTATTACACTTTATTTTTTAACTATATGCATTGCAAAATAAATTAAAATGGCTCACTCATCTTTGATGGATGATTTTAAAATAGTGAACATATGTTTTAAACAATGATGTAACAAATTCTATAAACATATAATTTTATATTGCAGAGAGCGCTACCCATACTATGAGATGGTTGCATCAGACAGAGGTACACCTCTGTTCATTCATGATGACAAGACAAAGTTCACTCCGGAGGAGCTGGTAGCACAGCTCCTGGCCAAGGCTAAAGATTTTGCTGAAATCAGTCATGGTAAGATTATTAATTTTTTTTATAGGTACAACAGTCCTGCTTTTGTGCCATAAAGAATTAGAAAAAAATTATTTTGCTAATAATATTCCGGCTTTTGTGACTAAAGGAGTTAGACGGAGTGTATTTCATATTTATTCTCTGTTTGTATTGATGTTCAAGTTATGTGTTTAATGTTGTGGCTGAAATTTCTTTTTCCATTTAATATTTGTTTTATCTGGTAATCAAAGTCAGAAACTATGAATAATTGAAAACTTGTTTTATGATTTCAAGTAATTTGACCACTTGTGAATATAATTTGAATATTTAGAAAAAGGCCTAGTACAGCATTTATACTAATTTAATTATGTGCTATTAAAAAATAAACCTTGTTACTGTGTCAACAATAAAAGTTACCATAATTGTATAGTTATATTTGTTGCTTCTGTTGCTATTAAAATATTTAAAATAATCTAAGCTCTGTTGTCTTCCACTTAGTAATTATTCGCCTGTAATAACCAGGTTAGCAACAAAACATAATTAATAAATGCATGTGCAATTTCCAGGTCAACCAATCACAGAGTGTGTAATCACAGTACCTGGTTACTTCAACCAGGCTGAACGTCGCGCGTTGAAGGACGCCGCCGCACTCGCCGGTCTCAACGTCCTGCAACTCATCAATGATTACACAGCTATCGCTATCAACTACGGCATATTTAGGAGGAAGGTAAGAAAATAAAATATCACATGTTTAAATTACTTCAATTTTCATATAAGCTCTATACAAAATGGTTTAAAATTCTCATAATATGTAAATCTAATTAATTTATTGAATTGCCAGTCTATTTTTGATATGATTAATGAATACTTAGGCTGTTATATCTGATATAGACTTATTGATTAAGTGTTTGAGGAGTGGAGACTGGTGTTTAGATCAAATTAGCTAATGCAATGTGTGGTAATAGATAGATTGATACAATATTGAGAATATTTTATTTATACTCTACAATAACTTGATCAAGAGAACAGCAGAATACTAAATTAAATATGTATTTGGTCAGGAAATCAACGAGACTGCATGGCACGCTCTGTTCTTCGACATGGGTGCAGCCTCTACAAAGGCAGCACTCGTCGAGTACAAGACTGTCAAGATAAAGGAGAAGGGCTACGTTGAGACTGTGCCTCAGCTACAAGTACTGGGCGTCGGATTTGACAGGTAATAGCGGTATTTTGAATAGTAATTTTATTCTAATTTACATTATTGTGATAAGAATATTCCTTCATGGTTGAATAGGATTCGAGATTGTTATTTAATGCCTATTGAGGTTGTTGACCTTAAGCCTATTCAAGGTTTTATGCTTATGTTACCAGCAATGTCTATGATGTCATTAACCTCTTGACTATATGAGTCTCACGTAGATCTGTGTTCCGGGGAATACCAGGGGTTAATATAGATATTATTATTACCCCTGGTTACCATACAAGAAGGGTAATACAAAATGGAGTCCTACATATTTTGTGTATCTGTTGGATATGAATGAAGTCGGTTAAAAATACTGTAATTATAAGTGTTTTTAACTTCGTAAAATTAACTCAAACCTACAATATTCTTATAAGTATGATAATGAGTATACTAAGGCAAGAAGTTATCTGATATTTTGTTTCTTGATGATAATCATATAAAAAATAAATGTACATGTATACCTTTAATATTCTTCCACATACCATCTGATTCTACATTTCAAATTTAAACGAATTTTCATCAGAACTTTGGGAGGTCATGAAATGACCCTACGTCTCCGTGAGCACCTCATCAAGGCTTGGGAAGCGAATGGAGGTGGCGATGTAAGGAAGTCCCCTCGTGCTATGGAGAAACTGCTCTTAGAAGCCGAGCGACTTAAGATCATTCTCTCAGCCAACACCGAGTTCTACGCACAGATTGAGAGCTTGCTTGATGATAAGGACTTCAAACAACTGGTGAGTTATTGGTTTGTTCTTGATAATGCTTCTTGCTGAGTCATTTTCGACCTTATGGCTTTCGTTGTTAGAACAGATATGTTCTTTGACAAAATCATAGTGTGAAAGGAAAACTGATGAAACTGACACAATCTCAACATTTTTTTAAGTAACCATTTTTTGTATTCCTATACAATTTAATGTGTATGTTATCCGTGTGGTCCAAAATGCAACTTATGCAGCCACACACATTTTATAGTAATGCTATGCTTACTTTTTGCTTAGACATGCATAATTGCATAATGTATTAACATTTAAGAATAACGTTGTGCCTCCCCGAAATGTAAAATTAATGCAATAAAAAGGAGTTTTTATTTACCTTCGAATAATCGTCCAGCGTAACAATAATGCGAACGGGCTGTTACATGTTTTCTTAATGCAACGTTTTAGCTAGTGAATCAATCATGTTAGTAGAATTACATTGAAGCTTGGGAAATTTTTGTTAAATATTTCTTTTCTAATTATATGTTACTAGCTACTTGCGCGCGGTTTCACCAGCTCTGCTCGGCTCCTATTGGTCGCAGCGTGATGTTTTATAGCCTATAGCCTTCCTCGATAAATGGACTTCCAACACAAAATAATTATTCAATTGGAATCAGTAGTTTCGGAGATTAGCGCGTTCAAACAAACAAACAAACAAACAAACAAAAAAAAAACAAACTCTTCATCTTTATAATATTAGTATAGATGCTATTCTTTAGAAGGGTTGTCCTCCTTTGAATTAAATAGCCCTTATTATTAAATATTCTATTAGCGTATACCGACGCTGCGCATGTGGCATGCCGACAATGAAATGGTTAAATCCTGTTCCACATTGCATTAGGTTGTGAATATATTAAAATGAAGTACATGAAGTCATCATGGTTCGACTCCTTACTCGGTTATGAAAACTAAGGAATGTATAGGTGACAGC